AGGAGGAACCTGCCCTCTTGTTGGGCTGGGGCATCAAATAGTCCCGCCGTTGTGTTTGGCAAAGTTCACCTCGCTCGCCCCCCCNCTCGCCCCCCCCCCGCCGCGCCCCCCATTTCTGTTCTGGGGGAAAGGAACGTTTCGGAGCGGCTCTCTTCAGTGGGGCGAATTTAAAAGCGCTGGAGCTCCTCATGACGGTTTTTGTACCTAGAACTCCCCCCGCTCCGAAAAGCCAACCCCCCCCCCCAACCACACCAACAAACCGCACAAGCCACCACGAACTTCTGTTGTGGGTCCATTAAAAAAAAAATCCCTCTCACGGACTTGGTTGGGATAGAAGTGTGAACCCAGCCCAACAGAAAGTCCCAGATGGAGGCTCCGCTGTACGTTCACCTGCCTGTGGGCTCCTCTGTGGGATTGTGATGTGGACGGGAGTGGGGGGCAAAAACACCTCGTTGCAAAGGCCTTCTTTCTTCACATGGTAGCATCAGGACACCATGTTAGCCTTACTTCTTCTACACAGGATAGGACTTGCCCTCCATCAATCCATCTTCTGCATGCGCTTGCACACAAACACCAAGTGCTCTTCTACTCCACCTGTTGTGTTTGTTTACTGATTTAAAGTCCACAAGAGTTGCTTTTTTTGTTTTCTACCAAGTTTTGGATTCATTTTCAAAGGCAGCCCAGCACAAGTTATGTTGATTAAAAAAAAGTAGATGTACATATGCCTGGAAAACACAATTTCTTTGTAGTCAAAAGAACAACAATTTAGAATGTCTTCCCTAGTATGTGAAATGGCTGACTGTGCATTGCATAGGCTCTAATGCACACATTTGCACATGCATTCACTGCCACTTTTTGCAATGTAAATTCTAGGGACCATGAAAAGAGGCCTAAGTCCTGAACACAACTAGGCCTGCAACTCTTTCTAACTCTCCTGAACTAGAATGAGGCATCCTCTTCTTGTTTGTCCTAGTAACTCCATCTTGTGCATAAAGTAAAATAAACTTTTGTCTCCCCGTTTGCTTTTCTTTTTCTATTTTTGTGTGACTTCAGTCAAGAAATCAGGGACATTTCAGAAGATAAGGAATCATCTGGCACAATCCTAATTCCAATCACTTTATGATGGTTTTAAGTCCCATGGTTTCACAAAGCGTGTTCCCAGGTAATTCTACATAGGATTGCTGTTTTTGAATATCTAGTGCAGAATAATGTTTCAAGGCTGTCGGATTTGAAGTAGTTATCTCCTTGTTATTAATGGATTATGTTGCAACAGTAAAATTAGAACACAGGTCATTGTTCATTCCTAGTGATTGGAGCACTGGGGGGGGGGGGAAAGAAGTGGATTGGAGAGCCAGAAGAAACTCATAGGGTACAAAGACATGTAAGGACAGGGAAGAGGAGGAAAGACAAGCAATGGCTCCCACAAAACTTCTTCCTTCAGGATCCCAGCAAGCTTTGCTTCCTGGCTGATAATATAATTGTTGCCATTTCATAAAGGGGCAGAATACCATACTGTACCTCCACATTCTATTAAGTGTAGTTGGCCATACATCCTGTTTAGCTGCACTTCCTGCTGCTATCCCCATTTCATTACAGGCAAATCCCTGTTTCTAGGGCAAGAGATGTAATGAGAGTCTTAGGTGAATAGGTTTTCTAGCACAACCTCATTCGAGTTGCCAAGGACAAAAGTAGTAGTGATACCACTCATTTAGCTCTGAGGACCTGCCAGTGTTTCATACTTGGTCAACCATGTTTTTGATACGCCTAGGAAAGTTGACTCAAAACACTTTGTTCAGGCTAATTAATGAGCTCTTCATTTTCTTCAATATGCAGACTCCCAATTCTTTATAGATATTTAAAAAACAAAGGCCAATGCACTTTGACCATGGATTTGATTTGGGGCAGGACCTCATGCTTTTGAACTTGCAGCTCCACTTTGTAGAGTGGGAATGATGAGCATTGCACTTGCGGGATTCACATGAAGATTTACTCAGAAAGGTCTGAGATATATTTTGCACAAAGAAAAGGAGATAGGGAACTAACATTGCTCTCGGTGGCCATTTTGTTCTGCTCAGTTTTAACTTTCCACCAAGAAGTCTTAAAATGATAATCAGTTTTGCTAGAAGCAAAGCAATGATTCCTATCATCATCCTGAATTGTGACTTAAAAATCATTATTACATGACTTAAGAGGTATATGTACTACAATCTTTTAGAAAGTAACATTGTTTTAAAAGAAATATGCTAATTATTTTTCTTTATTAAATGTCATATTAAATTGTTATGAGTAATTAAGATGCTAAGCATCCTATATGGATAATTTGTAGAATAGAGATTTAATGGTTACCTATATTACAGGTAAGTGCAGAATGTTATAAATATGCCAGTTAAAGCTTGCTCACATTTGATTAACTGCCATGTGGTAAAAATGTACAGAATTAACTCTGCAGTAAGATAATTAAAACTAGAATTTGAAACAGCCTGTGGTCACATTGTATATGAAATGTGAAGATAAAGTTGCATAGTATTGTGTGTTTCAAACCTCCAAAGACCCCTCCCACTTAACACTTGAAAAATTGTGCTACATTGTACTGGGAGTTGATACAATTCTTTAGAAGAATATGTGTCTGTACTTAATTGACTACATTGCATGCAGGCTAAGACAGTAACAATAAAATTGATGCTTTGGCTTTTCTTTTCTACATTAAACTAATTTACATTCTGGTCAACAGGTTTTAGGTGTCATCCTGTTTAAGGATGTTTGGAGAGTTGCTTTTCTCTATTGATTTTGTGCTTTTGATCCTTAAAAACAGTGGCTCAGTCTTGCCAGGTCCTCTTTTGGTATCCATAACAAGTACTTGAGGAAAACAAAACTACTTGTGTGACTGTTTCCACATTTCTAGTTGTACATGAGACACCTATCCAGAAGTTCAAATAGTTGCTCTTTGGAAGACCATGGCCAGAATTCTATTTGTTTTAGGTGGCGTAAACCCACAGTTGTGTAACTAGTGTGCACAATTGCTAGCTATCACAGGATTAGATATACCCCAGTTGTGCAGTTGTTTGTGCACTTGCTTCTGCTCAGAGGTATATAACAGTCAGCCAGAAAAGTGTGAAAACTGTTTGTGTAATTTCCCTTAAGTGCCTGGTATGTTGCAGTAGGATTATGACCTCTTAGCTTAAACAAAATGTTAATGTTACTAATAAATATGCAAACTGTGCGAGGGGTGCAGACTTACATGTGAACAAATTCAGTTTTGTCATCTTTAGTTCTGAAAACTATTTTAATATTTGGAGGGAGAATTGGATCCTTGGTTTCCAGAGGTAGACAATAAGTTTGCTGAGATGGAAATAAATGATAATATGAGTTATTAGTAGTTGTATGTTTGTTGTAGGTAATCCATGTCCAATTCACTAATTTGTCCCAAAGTGCCAGGCAGCTCTATAAATGTGTGTGCCTGCACCCTGTAAATACTTATTCTGTTGAATACAGTAAGACTTGCTTCTAAGTAAACCTGTAGAGTTCTACTGTAAATTAATTAGATTTAGGAGAATAAAATGTATTATTTTTAAAAACTCCACAACTGCCCTGTCCACTTAGCTGAGTTGTTTAGAATTCCTGTCATAGTATACTTATTTTGATTGCCACTATCTGGTATAAAAACGATTGGAAAAATATTACAGATTTGCTAGGTGCCAGCACTATTTTGTAACAGGAGACAGTATTAAAGATTTCATTGTCAGCCATGCACAGAGCTGAAAAAAAATCTGCAACCTTCCCTGATGCCCAAATTAAAATTTTAAGATTTTATAGATGTAATTGTTTCATATTATATGGTGGCTGTCTTTAGAAGCAGGCTTTGCTATTATGTTAAAATCGGACATGGTTAAATCCTAAATGTTAGAACATAACTGCAGAACCTGTTCATAAATGTTTATGTTGAGTTTAACACTTTCTTCATTTGTTTCAGGTTTTTCTGTACACTGAATACAATAGCTCTTGAGCCTAGCTTTTATGCCTCTCATCTCTTAGGGAAGAATGATTGAGAAGGAACTGAAGAATGGAATTGTAGTCTTTTTTTAATGAGTAAGTTTTTTTGGCTTATTCTTGATTAAACTTAAAAATGTTCAAATGCTTGAATTGAAAGTATAGATTTGTATAGCATTCAGGACTCCCCAAAATATGCACTTGCCAGATTGCTATGAATAAAAATTTGCTTCTCACAATGGAACTGGCATTTTCTACCTTTTTGGCCACAAATGACTAATATTGGCTGGTAGGAAAGGACTATTTTTCTTTTCAGTTTAGTCAATTTTATGGGCCTTTTGACAGTCCATTACATTTGGCAGATTCATGCCAATATAGGCTTACAGTCTAAAAATAGGCACAAGGAAACAACAAAGAAAGTGTGGAGGAGATGGAGGCATAGTAAAAGCAGGAGGAAAATAGGTGGTTATTTAGTTATGTATAAATATTAGATAAATAGTGTATTGTTGCTAAAGAAGTGTTTTAGTCTCCTTTTAAAAAAGCCTTGAATTTTAAAGAAGAATTAAAGGAGGCGACCATGAGCACTTCTGGGTATTAACTCCCAGTATACACATAAGTTTTAGCAAAGGAAGAGTCATTACAAGGAGCCTAAGATGTCCCAGTGGCAGAGTGTGGTGCAGTTGGATGAATCAACATCAAAGGAAAGGAAGTAGTCAGATATAAGAACAGAAATGATAGAGCAAAAAGTAGGCCATGGAAGGTTTTGAAGATGAGGATGAGAATTTTTTTTTCAATATCTGAGAGTAGGCAGGGAGCAAGTATGAGGATTTAATAATATCACATACTTAGAGTAGAGAGAGATGAATAATTTGGCAGTAGAGCACTGGCTGAAGATGAATCTGTGGAAGAATGGAAGGAACAGTGTATATTGTCATGTGTTTTAGGCAAAGGAGGAAGTTAAAGAGAAATCAATTTTTTTGCTAGTATATGCTGGCCAAAATCCTGTTGCATAGTGTTGGCAATGCACTAATATATAGTATCCTTTGTGTGTGTGTGTGTGAACTATTAATACCCCAATTGAACCCCCACATGTTGTAGCTCTGCTGCTGGTTGGAAAAGAAGGGCATCAGTATTGCCTGTTCAAACTACCCATCTGTTTTTGATTTATCACATTATTTCACTGAATAGTGCTACAGACAATGTAATAGTATCCTGGGAAATAATAAATGTCTTTTATCTCTTTGGAGATAGAGGAACTACCTCTATCTGGGGAAAAGACTTCACTGTATAAGGAAATATTTTAATGTTTATTTCCACTAAGCTTCATTTTTTCATACTTCTTACCTCCTACTCCCCATGTGTGTTTGCTGTATTATCCAGCCAGATTTCTGCTGTTAAGAACGGTTAGCAAGAGTTTTTGTAGTTGGACATTACATTGTATAGTAAAACAATTTTTCACATCTTTCTAATTACGGTTCTTTGTTAAGTTGGCTGCAAGAACAGGTTATGCTTAAGACTGCTTTCATTTATACTCTTATAGTATAATCTCTGGTCATTGAATTTCCTGATGTGTATTTCAAAGGGTCTTTACTTTGGGAGTTTTGTTTATGTATAAGGGTGGCAGGATACACAATGTGGTGTAGTGGACAGAGTGATGAACTAGGACTTAGGAGGCCTGGATTCAAATTTCCACTCAGCCTTGGAAGCTCACTGGAGTGTGGAACTGATAAAAATGTGTTGCTTAAGTCTCTCACTTTGAAAGCCGTATTAGGGTTGCTATAGGTTGGCTCTGAGTTGATGGTACAAGTGATGATGGTGGCAGTCTTTGTCGTGAGCAGTCAGACATGTCAAGGTAGGAACACCACTAGGTGGTGGTGGAATTTCTAATCAGAGTGGAGACAGAAGACAAGAGTAGGTAAAGATGGGTAGATAGTGATTACCTTTCAGAACTCAGTTGGAAAAATAGCTTCAGTAGTGGCTGAAGCAATAACATTACTTTGGGACTGATAGTCATCTAAGGAGGCAACAGTCAATCTAAGAACAGTTATGAGCAGTCATATGCAGGGTGAGGAAAGTACTTTGTCTAGGAAGGGATGTAGCACTGAGTTTTGCTAGACAGATTTCAGCTGTACTGTACAGTGGTGCCTCGCTAGATGACGATAATCCGTTCCACTGAAATCGCTGTTTAGCGAAATCATTGTCTAGCAAAAAGCATTTGCCTATTGGAATTCATTGAAACCTGTTTAATGCGTTCCAATGGGGAAGAATCGTTGTTGTCTAGCGAAGATCGGCCATAGGAAAGCCACTTTGTGAACTGCCGATCAGCTGTTTAAATCGCTGGCTTGCGAAGCTTGGGTCCCGAAAACACCTGTTTTGCGACCGCAGAGGAAGCTGCCAAAATCATGGTCTAGCGAAAATCGGTTTGCGAAGCAGGGACCAAACATTGTCCAGCGAAACTCCCCCATAGGAATCACTGTTGTGCGAATCGCTATAGCGATCGCAAAAAATCAATGTCTAGCGAAAAAACTGTCATGCAGGGTAACTGTCTAGCGAGGCACCACTGTATATGCTAAACCTGAAGAACACTGAACATAATGAGAAAGTGTGGCATAAATTGGGGGAGGGGAAGATTTTATCATAAATTGTAATGCTTTGCCCAAATCTTTTCTTTTTAATGGTATGTAGGCTGTCCATAGGCAGTATTAAAGTGTGAGCACTGCTCCTCTATCACATGTTTTTTAAAAAAATCAATGTTTTATTTCAGATATAATAAGCTGCGGAAGTCCTGGAACTCTGGAAATATATCAGCACAGAAATCTCTTAAAAAGTACCACAACAGTATATTACTTTAAGAAAAATGCCATCTGATCAAGAACCATCATTTTGCTTTCAAGAGGCAAGCTTGGTACAAGAAAATGTGTCAGATAGAATGTGTGTTCCTACATCAGTTGTTGTTGAAGAGTCTAAACCTCCACTTGCAGTCTCAGATATTCTCTCTCATGGACTAAAAACCGTGAAAATAGAATTGCCGAGGGTACATATCCCGAATGAAGTGCTATTTAAACATGAAATAGAGAGATACATGAAATTATTTCAGTGTAAAGAGAAACCCGCACTTGCATCTTCCATGCAAAAGGATGGGAATGGAAGCAGTTTACATTGCTCTGAGGTTTATATTCCACATAGCAAACCAGGACTGCATTATGAGGAGGGACTGAAAACATCAGCAAAAATATTGAACTTTAGCTGTACAAAATGCCGAAACAGCATTAGGTACAGCCCAAATGACCTACAGAAACATTTTCAGCTGTTACACCATGGAGAGTTGCCATCTTACCCTTGTGAAATGTGTAATTTTTCAGCTAATGACTTTCAGGCATTTAACCAACATCGTCGAACGCATCGCAGCACTTTAGTAAAATGTGAAATTTGTAACGATGATCATACATATACTTTGTTGGATCTGACAAAACATTTCACCTCTAAGCATTGTATGAATGGTCACTTTCAATGTGAAAGATGTAGGTTTTCCACCCAGGATGTAGGTACATTTGTTCAGCATATTCATAGACACAATGAAATGCAGTATAAATGTGATAAATGTCATCATGTCAGTTTTTCTGAAGAAGAGTTTCATAAACACGTTGCTTCACATATTGGCACATTTCCTTTCAGTTGTCAGTATTGCAACTACATGGCATCACGGAAAAACTATCTTTTAAAACATATTATTACCTTACACAGAGACCACCTCTATGCAAAACATAAATTGGACACAGATAACAGTGAAAAGAAGATAAAAACTCCAACAGGACTAAAACTTATCTTGAAAAGGTACAAAACTGGGGCATCTAGGAAGGCACTATGGAGACGCAAAAAAATTACCAGCAGCAGTTGTAGAATCGGAGAAGATAGACAAGTTCTCAGAGACACAGAGGATATTAAGCCTAACTCAGAAGAGCTAGAAAAGTCTGCAAAAGAGCTTCAGGTAAATGAAGATAAGATTGTTCTAAATGAAAAGCAAATCTACCGTGGAATGAAATCCTCTCAACCAGCAGAGTACAATAGAACAGAAGATGGATTGGGTTCTGGTTTGGGATTGCTGAAAAAAGCTGTTCATGGCCCTACAGTATTGATGGTTAAAAACAACAAAATATCTGTTCCTGCGAACTACAGTGCTAAATTTATGGGATTTAAAATGGTAGACGGTAAGCAACATATAGTAATAAAACTGCTACCTACAGATAAACAGAATTTGCCTGCAGGAAATAAAGTTGATGTGGTTAAAGATGGTTCAACGGACTGCTTACAGCAGACAGCTGAGAACTTTAATTTTCCTTCAGGTGCCGGACCTCATGAAATTAACCAACAGTTGTCCAAAAATAATTCAGTATATTCATTAATGTCATCTCCAGTGTCATTTTCTAATCACCACCCAGGAAAAATAAAGCAAGAACATTTCAGTTCTTTAAGTTGGAATACATCTCAAAGTGCTGCACCTCCTATTGTAGTGGTAGGAAACTGCTCAAGTCATTTGCCTGTGAAGCCCAATTCTTCACTTTCTAGTGATTTAGTGGCAAAAGCTGGAACTCGGCGTATTGTTTCATGGAGGAACTGTATACCTCAAGACCATCCTCAGGTTTTATCTTCTGCTGACACACACATGCTTCATTATGACCCTATGAAAAAAAACTTCCCTCCAGAATTCAAAGTCCTGAATGGTGAAGTGAACAATAGCAGTAAACACAATAATCTTTATTATTCATCAGCAGATATTTCTAATCAAGTACCGTTGCCTTTCCATAATTACTCCAAAATGGATATTTTGGAGAAATCTAAAAATCTTATATCCAGCAAAACCATTCCTCTCCAAAGCAGGTCTGTCAGTGAAACAGCTTGTTTTTCACAATCAGCAGCAGGATTAAATTCAGAAAAAAGAATGTCTTACGGCTTCATACATACTAATAATGATCCAGTATTCTCAACCAACCAACCTAGTTATGTCCTCGATAGACAGCATTGTATAGAAAATCATGATGGCCGGAGGTATTTGAATACTAAGATAAATCAAGTGTTGGAACGTGTAACTGAAATACCTAAACAGGAAAAGCCTTCCAGTTGTATAAATCCAGTTATGCCTAAAATAACATCAGTTTTCTCACTCCAGGGTAATCAAGCATCCAGCTATTTGTCACCTAAAGTAAACCAGTCATTACAAGATGTGTTAAAAGGACAAGCTATTCCTCAGTCACACAACTACATTAGAACTAATTATAACCAGTCATTTCCAAATAATCAAACAGATTCTAAAACAGCTACATACTTCAGAAATTCAACAGTTCTGTGCAATTTAACCCATTCATCTGCTAAACTCAAAAGAGAACTCAATGTGAACTGCAGTGCAACAAAAGAAAGTGCATGCTTCAGGAATGAAGGACGAGTACCAACCACATCTTTTAAAACAGAAGAAATAGGCTCACCTTCCAGGACAGTGGGAATTGGTACATTGCTTAAGACTCAGGCAGATTCCATCATAACACAGCAGTTGGCAAAAGACAAGATGCGCAACGGGATCCATCATTCTAATGTCATCCGTCCAACTCTTCCAGAACAAAAAAACCCGATGCTGCTTCAGCCATCTCCACCAAGATTTTTTGTACCTTTGCGCCTTGCCCACCAGCCAGGCTTGCAAGTTATTTCAGGAACTCCGCCTTCAAATATGAGTTCATCAGATGCTCATGCAACACGAGGTGCAACAACATCTTTACTGATAAACAAAGCACCTGGAATGATTTTGACATTTGGTAGTGGGTCACTTGGAACAATTGCAAATGCCACTGAAAATAATTCTCAGGTTTTAGAGAAATTTGCGTCTAAAGAGAATGGTAAAGGGGCAGTATCTTCATCAGAGATGGAGTTGAAAATAGACAGTTGTAGAAGTATAAGAAATTCTTCTGGTGTTAATGTATGCCGTGGGGCAGTAAGTGCTTCATCCACTGGCCAAATCCAAAAGGAACAAATTAACAGTATAAATCCAGAAAGTGGAATTTCTTCTGTGAAAATACTTGCAGGATATCAAAGCAGTAAAGTTGCCTCATCAGAGTCAATAAAACAACCCGAGATTGGACAAGAACCTGTTTATGCACTTTTGCCTGGTGGCAGACAAGCAGTTTTTCTTAAGTGTATGTCGCCAAACAAATCTCTAGTACAGAATCATAGTGTTTCTCAAAATAGTTCTGATAGTCAAAATACTGAACCAAAGAAACCTGGAGCAATGCAGCAAAAGCTTTTTTTGAAAATTAAGACTTTGCCTGCTGCTGACAACAGTCAAGCAGTTAATAATTCTCTACTATCTTTACAGTTCAATAGTATGCATTCCCTTAACAGATCTGTACTAGACCAGGAAAAGACAGCAGTTTCTTCTAGCAATGCCTTACTCTTACCAGGTAGATTGATACCAGCAAATGCCTGTTCAGCAAGTGATAAATCAAAGGAAACTTGCACTTCTCTAGAGTCTGTACATTCCTCTAAGCAAGCAAAAGTATGGTCACAAAAGAACCAATTTGATTCAACACAAACAGTAACTGCTAACAAGGCCAGCAGTTTGAGAAGCCAAATGTCAGTAGAAACTATGACAAATAAGATTTCAAAAGCTAAACGTCATTCAAAACAAACTGGTGCTAAAGTTTCTGATGCTGCAGTATCACAAAAGAACAGGAGTCTGAAACGAAAAGCCAAGGAAGATCTTCAGGAGCCCCCTCGAAAGAAACCACTGCATCGAAAGTGTAAACAGAAAAATCTAATAGATATGAATGAATTTGAATCTATGCTTCCTGCCCCATGTAAGCCAAGATTGTCAAAAGACACAAAAAGAATTCTAAAGTTACTTCCATTTAATTCCAAGCAACTTGTCAAATGCCCACGAAGAAATCAGCCTGTTGTAGTACTAAACCATCCTGATGCAGATGTTCCGGAAGTTGTAAATGTTATGAAGACAATTGCAAAATTTAAAGGACATGTGCTGAAGGTCTCTTTATCGAAGAGGACTATTGATGCGCTTTTAGAGCCAGCATATTATAGTAACAGTTTGTACATAATTAGTAGTGATCTCTCTAAAAGAAAACGTAAAATGCTGAAGCCTGTAAGTCCTGTAAAAGAAAGGTTTGTGTTAAAATTAACACTGAAGAAAACTAGCAAAAATAATTATCAGATTGTGAAAACTACTTCTGATAATACGCTGAAAACTAAATTTAGCTGCTGGTTTTGTGGGAGAATATTTGACAATCAGGACAATTGGGTAGGGCATGGCCAGCGTCATCTGATGGAAGCCACTCGTGACTGGAATTCATTAGGGTAATTTATTATGATTAATCATGAAGACAAAATAATTCATTTGATTGCAGGTTATTTTGGATAACAGCAGTAAAATTATGTTTCTGGGTTTTTTTAATGGAACAAGTTTCATGGTAGCACCTAAAATGGACCTGTATGAATGAACTGCAGTTTAAATTGAAGTTTGTTACTACTATCATGTCATATATTTGTATTTAGATAAAGAATTTCAGGGCCTTTTTGTTCTGTATATATTTAAAAATCAAAGTGTGTACATATTTTTGTACTTCAGTTATTTGCTATGAAATCTTGCACAGGAATTGTATTTTTTCCAGCTCTGTGCATGCACTACTAAAAAGGTTTTTCAGCTACACACAGCTATTGCTGTATTTTTCCTTGCTCTTCAAAACAGAACAAATCAAAACCCACCAACCTTTTCTTTTCCAGGGATTGAACACTGTTGTTAGCAAGTGCCTAAAATATGTGAAGCAGTTTACTTTGTGTCAACTGTATAACCATAGGTCTACATAGGGCCAGGTTTTCTAACAAGTTTCTTTTAAACAAAGCCATATGTGAATGCTTTAAGCTATATTGCTATGCACATGACACTTGTACTATTTCTGTGCAGTTTGTCTACTTTCTTAGTGAAATATTTTTCATATAAATCAATAAATGTGTTATTATGTTTAAGACTGATAAGGAAATGAGTTGACAGCATAATGTATTTCTGCTTTGTACAGTATAATGAAGAGGATGTTGGACATCTCTGTTAAATGGCTATAATTTGTATTAATATTTGATTGAATAATTTTGCTACCAGATGTATGTAAAGGGAAGCCTGTGTTTTATTTGGTTTTTTTCTCCCACTTTTGCTAGGTAATATAATTTCCTTTTCAAAAGAGTGCTTCAATACAAATTTCCTATTCAAAAACACATGTTTCATGAAACTGATAAAGCTTATGGGCATTTTTCATTGAGACAAAAAGGGTTTGTCCCATTGTTACCTCTGTATCTCTTGTTGCTGATAAAAAAAACAAAAAAAACACTAAATTTCTCTACAATGATAGTATAAAACTGCCTATTATAATGGTGTCAAGAGATTTGTTCAAGTATCCTGGACTTTTACTTTTGTCAATCCCCTATCTGTTATACAAATGATTAGTCTCTTAAAGCTAGTCAGAATTCTTAACTCCGCCCCCTCCATCTCAGACTGAAGGAATCGCATCTTTAAATCTCCTGTAATCAGGTTGAAATTTCTGCCTGTTTGTTATCATGTATTGGGCAGATATTTCAACCTGATTACAGTTTTTGCCTGACCTTTCAACACAGAAAATGCCCTTCTAGTGTCATTTGAACCCTTTAAAATTAAGAGGCAGAAACATTGCAATCAGACATGTATAGCATTCAGATACGTATAGTACAGGTATTTCTTCCTCTACAAATTCAGGGGGATAGACAGAGACACCTTAAGACTTTTACTGATTGAATTTTATCCCGGGAAACAGGCCTGAATGGGCACCAAGTAAGATTAACTGATGTATTAGCAAAAGTATGAGGCAAGCACATTAATTTCTGTCCTGTAAATAAAGTGAATAATATGATTGGCAACAGTGTTTTGGCAATGTTAAATTGCGCACTGGTCCTCTGTAGAAAAATAAGGCTTATCTTGTGATGGGTATGAGTCTTTTAGTGAAGTGGGCAGGAAAAAAATAGTAATTTGTTGTAGTAGTCTCAGATTTTTAATATGTCTCTGGTATTCAAACAGTTCTTATAAAGTCAATTAACTCAGGAAAATGATGTGCTTTTAAACAAGAAATGCAAATCAGGATTACCTCTTTAAGAATTCCCCAGCACATGTGTGGTGTTAATAAATTTGTTATTTAGATATGTTGCTCTATAACTGTGTTGAATAATTTGAACCATGAGTAAAGCACAGTTTTCTATTGTAAAATTTATGTAATTATTGTATGGATAGAAAAATTTGGTTCTTTATTACTTGTGCTGACTTCTTCAGATACATAACATTAAATATTCTGTTGAATGGAGACAACTCTCCCAAAAGGTTTAGAATGATGCATATATTTCCACGCATAAGCATTCCACTTTTTATATTCACAATTATATTTTGTATTTATAAGAAGAAACTATTTCATAAAGACACAGGACTCACCTTGAGTTTGAGAGTTGCAGCTTGTGTGCAAATGGAAAAAGAATATTGTAAGGCTTTTTACAATGAGTATGCCTTCCAGAAAGGTTCAGTGGTTTGTGTTATTGAGCAGTGGGGCAGCGTGTTTATAATATGGCTCCGCTTCTGTTCTTGACCGCAACATGACCACTCTTAACGCTGCATGAATGGGTGTACATAAGGTGATTGTAATTTTTTTGCCACTAATTCTTTTGTAACACTGCTATTAAATTTTAATCCTTTGTCACACTTAATAAGGTTGACCAGCTTCATATTATGTTGCATTTTCTAAAGATTTTGATGAAGATGATGGAATCTGCATAGTTCAGAAATGTGTATATACAGTAAAATTGCATTCCCTGCTCGGATTGTGTTGTAGCTAGAAAAATGCTGAAAAACGTGCTTTTCCACCCAAGAACTGTAGATATTTTCCCTAGAACTGGAGCAGCGGCAAATCAGTGGTGCTGGTGTTTTACTGATTTAGGAATACAAATAAAGACTGGATTAATATGATTTGTTAATTTGAATGTGTAAGAACATTGCTCAAAAATACTAACTTTGAAACTTAGGTTGCTGAGCTACTACTGCTTACTTCAGTGCCAGTCCTATCAAAATTGGAGGGATATTGCAGTGCTGGAATATTAATAGACTGGAAAAACTTGTCCTCTGCATTCTTAAAAGAAGCAGAGCCTAAATTTTCTTTGCTGCTCATCTTGATCTTCATTAAAATCGAAACAGATGGAGAATTCATGTACAGTGGTGCCTCGCATTACGAGTGCTCCGTTCTATGACGAATTCGCTTTACGTTGAAGGTTTTGCGACCGCAAAAGTGATCGTAAAGGGTGTTTCCTATGGGAGAATTTCGCTTTGCGATGATCGGTTCCCTGCTTCGGGAACTGATTCTCGCAAAGCAATGATTTTCGTCTAGCTGATCGGCAGTTTCAAAATGGCTACTGGGTAAAAAACATGGCTCTCCGTTCTTTTCTGGGACGGATTCCTCACACAGGCAGTGCAAATGGCCGCGCTATGGAGGATCTTCGCTGGACGGTGAGTTTCAAGCCCCTAGGAACGCATTAATCGGGTTTTAATGCATTTGTATGGGCTTTTTAATTTCGCATTACGCCATTTTCATTCTACAGCGATTTCACTGGAACGAATTAACGTCGTAATGTGAGGCACCACTGTACTTATACTGAGTGGAAGAAGAAACAAAATTTCAGTATCACTAGAGAGAACATTGAAAAAAAACCATTGCTCTAGGTACTCTCTTGTTTTGCAGAAGGGCCTTAGATCCACTGCATACTGTCAGCTGGTAGGGATCAGGGCATGAATGCATTTTAACTGAGTCCCTTTTCGGCTCTCAGTAGCATCTCTATACTTTTCTGGAGCTCTCCTCTGAACCTCTGGAACAGTTGGGAGGGACAGTCTGCAGCGTGAAAAAATAATTCATGAAAATCTTCAGATTTCTTGTCAGTGAGTTTGAATCCAGCCCATTGAATTTGTTGTCAAGTTATGTACAGTAGCTGGAAGGTACAGACTCATAGGCAAATAGATGTTTCAATCAATATAAGTGCATTGTTTGATTTGGATTGATCTTTTAACTGTAGTATCCTGTAAATTTAGCATATTACTTTGAAATTAAGTGTATGCTAGTTTCCCAGCAGCATTTAACAAGAGAAGATATAATTTTCCTGAGATCTTGTAGTGTACATGATTTTAATTTGAGCAGGGCCTGTCATTTTTTTCAAGTCAAGATGAGAAGACAGAAAACAATTTAATACAAATTAGTATTTATGGTGGGACGTGGTGGCGCTGTGGGTTAAAACCCAGAAGCCTCTGTGCTGCAAGGTCAGAAGACCTGTAGTCGTAAGATCGAATCCATGTGATGGGGTGAACTGCTGCCACTTGTCCCAGCTCCTGCCAACCTAGTGGTTCGAAAACATGCAAAAATGTGAGTAGATAAATAGGTACCACCATGGTGGGAAGGTAACAGCATTCTGTGTCTAGTCGTGCTGGCCATGTGACCTATGGAAGATTGGGTTGGAAACAGAGATGAGCACCCCCCCCCCGGAGTTGGACACGACTAGACAAATTGTCAAGGGGAACCTTTACCTTTACCTAGTATTTATACATTATCTAAGCATGTAATTTTCAACAGGTGTTTGTATGTGTGTGTGTATTCCTGAGGCAACTAGTCTTTCTCATTAGTGATTTGACAAAAAACCTCCCCATGATTCCAAGTCTGTCCTTCAATATTAATTTGAATTTTCATCTCGAAATTTAGCATTATAATTCGGAGTGTAAGAAATATCTTCAGTATTTAAAGCAACTGAAAACCAAGCTCTACATTTTCTGTCCAAAAGAAATCAAGACTTCATGTCATCATAAAGCAAATAACTGAGTGAAGAACTTTTATTTGAACCAGAGACTAGTCAAATGGATATGGAAAAATGTTTTGGAGAATGGAGAAGCAGTGAATACATCTATGGGTTAAAACTACAGATTAAAGATGAGACAGTTGTCTTTCTCTTCAGAAAATTAAAGTCAAATAATTGATACTTCTATGTATACTTTCCCTTTTGTATCTCAATTCTTTAAATAAGGCAAGGAATGCTTGGTGCCAGTGGTTCTTAACCTTGGGTTACTCTGGTGTTTTTGAACTGCAACTCCCAGAAATCCCAGCCAGCATAGCTGGTGGTGAAGGCTTCTGGGAGTTGCAGTCCAAAAACACCTGATTAACCCAAGGTTAAGAACCACTGCTTGGAGCTATCCCACTGCTACTTACATCAAAAGCTTTGTAAGCTGCTAAGGGTACTTTCCTGGATCCAAGATGCAACATTTAAGTATATATGTTACAAAAAAAGCAGTACTTTGTTATGTTCTGTGTGGGTGTCCAAAGACATTGAGATCTAATCTTGCATGTCAACAATCAAAACATTCAAAATAATATTTTGTTCACTATATTTAAAATACATAGGCACACAATATAAGTTCCATTTTAACAGAAACTGAGAGGTAGATAAAATGTGCTTAAAATGTGAAACAGCCCCAACACAGTACTCCGGATCACAATTGCACATTAGTACTATGCTTAGTACTTCCTTTTATATTCTGATACGTACACAGGTAACAGGGGCTCCAACAAATATAGCTAAAGCCAGTACAGATGCAATAAATTGATGCTTTCAGTCCCAGGAATCAACTCCTTCAATCTTCCTGCATAATGGCTCACTTTGACATTTAAAATATAACAAAATTGGAATTTTACCAAGGAACGTCTTCTGTAATTGGTACACTGCAACAGATAACTGTTCTTCTGAGTACAGTATATTACATGCCATTGGACACAACTACTCTTACATAGTTTATAATATCCTTTATAAAAAGTATATGTCCAAGTGTGCAAAAATTCAGGAACTGGTGAAACTTAAAACTTCACAACTCAGTGCTTCAGCACTTTTTTCTAAGACTTGGTGACTATCAAATCTCTTTCATTTTCTACAAACTATATAAATTGAGCAGATTGTATTTATTTTTGCTTGTTTGTAAAGCTTTTGAAGCAAATTCTTCTAATTATAGGTCTACATGCTCATTCTCAAATGTTCATTCTCAAAACTTAGAATTGTAGAGCGGGAGGATTTTCCACAAGGATCCTCATTTCAGTTCTGAAATTCTGACAATATGTCTTAGTTTAGTAGAGTCTTTCGTGTTGTTTTGACTGTCAATGAGAACAAGAGAAGTCCGTTGATGATTTTCTATGATTTCTGCAACACTGTCGAAGCGCTGGATTGAGAAAAGAAGAGTTCAAGATGGCTTATTGTTGCAAACTCAAATTGTGCTGATTTGGGTGATAATCATAATTAAAATTTTAAATCTTTCCCTTCTATCATATTAGCCCAAAACAATGTAGGTAAATGTTGCGTAGTGTGCATTTATGTATCAGTATTTCCAAGCAACTTTATATTTGAAAGTGGCATGATTGTGTGTGCTAAACAAGTGGAATGCACCATCTTCTTGCAAAGTTGGCCCCATTATGTTTTTGGACAAAAATGTCTAGTATAGAAGTGACCTGTTATCACTTCAGACTGCAGGTGGAAGGTTAAACAGTTGAATGCAAAAAGTATTTTCACATTCTCAAGTAGCATCTTAAGGACAAAACTTAGATTCCAAAATTATCTTGTTAATAAGTTCCAGTGAACTTCACTAGGCTTCCTGTTCGGTAAATACGGATTGCGGTAGACTGCACAGTTGTGTACATGTCCAGGAATTTTCCCCACCCCCTCATATGGAGAAATATACAGATGCTAGGTACTACTGTAATAGAGCCCAATAAATGTGTAAGTGAAGGATTATGAGGTGATGGTGAAAGGAGTAAAAAAAAACACCCACTTTTGTAATGTAACATATATTTTTATGCAGTTTGCTTGCCTGGCCAATTTCCAAAGAAAGAAGCTCAAAATTAGAAAGCAGTGGTGTCAACTTGCTACCAAAATGTAATTGCAAAATTTACAAAAATCCTGTTTCTGAACTGCGGTTTCTCTTACTGTCATAGATGTCTGCGTAAAGCCATTCAGATTATAAAAACAAAACAATGTCAATTCACTATTAATGAGAGCCAAAGAAAATCAGTGGATTACACTGAAGTAAAAAAGCACAGTAACATTTGACTGAACCTACCAGAAACTAAAATTTCAGCATTAAGGTTTTGACATACTAAAGAAAAATAGATACAGTGGTACCTCGACTTACAAACTTAATTGATTCTGGAACTCCGGTCGTAACTCGAAATGGTTGTAAGTCGAAGCACCGTTTCCCATAGGAATGCATTGAAATGCAATTAATCCATTCTGCCCGAAGGGGGAAAAAATCACCAAAAAACAAACAAAAAACCCAAAAAACACTGCAAGACCCATTGGAAATGTGATTAATCCGTTCTGGCCAAGGGCGGGGGGAGAAAAGCAAACTGTGCAAGCCCCTTCAGAAATGCAAAAAAGCAAAGCAAAAAGCAAGCAAACTGTGCAGGACCCATTGGAAATGCAAAAAAGCAAAGCAGAAAGCAAGCAAACCTCTCAAGACCCATTGGAAATGGGAAAAAACCCAACAAACAAACAAACCCCACAAGACCCATCACAGCATAGAAGCATAATCCCACCACCCAGCCCAAAACCACACTGCAAAACCCACCCAGAACAGTTTTTAAAAAGCAGAAAGCAGCACCTTACCTTACCAGGCAGTCTGAAGCCTCCGATCGCATTGTCTCTAACCGTTGGGGCGAAAGAGTTACAAAAAAGCAACTTCTTCGCCTACCAACGGTTAGCAATTTGAATTCCCTGCCTTTTTCCCTGCCATTTTTGGTTGTAACTCGAAGGTCCGGCTGCAAGTTGAAGGAAAATTTTGCAGCCGGAGCTGGCCGTAACTCAAAATGGTCATAAGTCAGGGTGTCTGCAAGTCGAGCACGACTGTATATGTCACATTTCCATACTTTGTGGAAATGCATCTTTTAGAATTGAAAATTGGGAAAGTATAATACTGTATGAGAAGAGTTGATCAAAGAGCTCAACCATTATACTTAAGTTTTTATTATATCTTGGGGACAATCAAAGTTGAAGGTACATAGGAGACATGTTTCTACAAACAGAAATTGGATGTTTCTAGCTTATAGTCAATTAAATTGGGATTCTTCCCTCTCCAAATGCCCAGCCCCCATATGTTTGGATAAATGCAGTTTGGTGTGGACTAAATTTTACTGTCTTTAAGGAGAGTTATACTTACGAGCTCCCAGTGGGAGTTCCTTAATGAAGGGTGTATAGAAGGGCTTGATTGTTAAGATGGATAAGTTAGCTGCATTCACATTTTAATTAGGTCTCACTTGAGTTGGAACATCTAATTTTCTATTTAGTTTCATGCATAAGAAAAGTAAAGGTTAAATCAATTATTTCAATGTGTTGTCTCAGTATCAAATCATCATGCCCTCAAGCACTACAACTAAACTTTCATTCATGTGTTGAGGTACCAAAGGGAAAAAAAATCACTCACCTCCTCTCCACTTTTTTCTCTGCCTAGAGCATACTGTCTTGTTGATTCAATAAATCGGACTGGGATGTTATATACTCTCTTGTTGTAAAACACAACTAGTGTATATGGTTGCTTTGAGTCTTGTCCAGAACTCTTCCTTACAAGGAACGATCCATCCTTTAAAATGGTATAAAAACACAAGGAATTATGACAGGTGAATGATGTAGATTTATTTTTCTTGATCTTGTTCCCCTCACCACAATCCTTTCGACAGGTAAAACAATTCTGAGTACTGTGTAATGTAGCTCTTAATAAATACTGGGCTTGGAAGAGTCCCCTGTTTTTGTAAGTCCTTGTTAGTACCTTCCCACTTTGAAGACACTTTGCCCTTGCCACTCATTTTTTGATTTTGATTCTAAATTACTTCTCTGCTGCAAGATCTATTTCTTTCTGGAGCTGCACTCATGCCAGGTTCAGGAATAATAATCAAATTGCCATTTCAGAGCATTTGCCTTCTGGATTCTATTGCCAAGAAGCTGATTTCTGATCTGGGACAGGGACCGCTCATCGATCATAGTTCAATTTTCACAGTGAATGAAGTTTCTGCGGAAGATGTTGTGATTATTAAAGTAATAATGGGCAACTTCAGTCAAAGAACGCCTTTTCCTTTAAAGGAAAAAGGAGTGCCCTCTAATGAAACCTTAGTTGAGTCTTGTCTATCATATCCCGTTTTTTCGGAGGCCCTTCCAGAAGCCACTGGCAATGATGCGGCTAAAAAATATTGTAAATAAATAAAATAAATAAATATTCTTTGTACTTGCCATGCACAAGATTGTATGCTTTGTAAACCAATCTAACTGTTCAGGATCACTATGATGAAAATTTCACTTCAATAATACTTACCAGTACTTGTATTTAGCCACTGTCACACTGAGCTTTATTAAGATACTTGGAACTATTGAAGCCTACACAACATTTCGCAATTTCAAAGAAGGGATTACTTATTCTCAAACTGTATTGTATAAATAACATGTAATGGGAACCATTTGTGTGTGTTAGATATTTGCTTCATAATGTTAAGCTAGTTTCTAAAATTCAAATTCTGTTCATTTCTTCTGCCTTTAAACAAACATTACAGGGGAAAATAAGGAAATATTTTTACCTCATTTGATTTATGTAAAGCCTCTTCGGCTGTTTTTCGATCACTGGAAGCCATGTACCATGGTTTCCCATGAACACCAGCATTCTGTGAAAACATGTTCTTTCTTAGAGATCAAAAAGCCCATTTCCTATGTTGCCTCAGCAAGATCTGTGAGTTCCACTGCACTCAGAAGGTAAGAACACAAGTGTTTACAAAATTTCAGTGAATGGCATAGACATGTAAACATGGGGAGCCAGCATTTGTATGGATTTGGCTGAAAATATCTGGGATGAACATGCATATGACATTAATAAATATGGATATTATGTCATCTGGGAATTGTTCAGTAACACCAAAACTAACGCATGTAGGATTTCTTATTCAACTTTGTATGTGCTTTGCAGAGGGGTTTCTGTTCCTTACTCAGTGCTGGGTGATAACTGGACAAGTTGCCTACAAAGCAAGATTTATTTCTCTTAAAGCAAAGAAAAATTAAAGATATTTTATTCTTGTTAAAAATATGCTTTTTGGCTACAACAAACTGCCACTGTTCTGTGTATAGCCTATGCATTTAGCTGACTTTGAGCATCTTATAATGGCCAGCAACCCATCAGTTCTTGTTCGGACTCTTTTACTAAAAAAAGAGAAAGAACTAAAATAGTGCTATACCTGTTCCGCTATGGTGAAACCACATTGAACACTATGGCGTGGTATACTAGAGGTGCAGTTCACAGGTCCTGGTGATCCTGAAGAAGATATAATTTTGTTGGCTGTTATTTGGATTTGTAAAAATTAGAGCAGAGTATTGATACAATGCAAAATCACAGCCCTACTTCTCTAGCCTATTGCTTTTGCAACCAAACTTATGTCGTGGTAAAGACATGATGAAATAATCTTTATTCTTAATACGGAGGATGAATGGAATGTTGTATCCTCAAGAGAGTTGCTCATGATGATTCTACTCTGGCCAATTTGTACAGATCTGAAACCAATTCTAAACTTTAGTCAAATAAGAAAACACTTACGAGGCAAGACTGGTGGCTTTTGAGGCAGTGGCCTGAAACAAAGGATTGGAAGTTAAATGAAAACCAGTTCAGTTCTCTTTGCATTTACTTATTTGATCTTAATGATCAAATGTAAAAATCTGCACTTTTTGTTTTTCATTCTGCAACTAAAGCTTTCCAGGTTTCTACGTTTTATGTTTTATTATTTATTTTTATTCATTCCCTTTTGTATTTCTTTGCAGATCATACTTTTTATACAGTGGCTGAAATTCTGTTGCATAGTTTTGCATACACAGTGGGGATAATGTCATCATCAATAGAAGATTGACAGTGATTAAAAGACAAATCGCTACTCATTAAAGATGATTCTGGGATGCACATGACATGTACCCCCAAATCTCCAAAGGAAACTTTTAATCAGTGATGATTTGCTGCTGCTGATGTCATCACTGCTGTGCACCTTGGAGTTGTGCAACAGGGTTTCAGCCGAGAAGTTCTCAGCACCCTGCAATAAATCCACATTTCAGATATTTCTGTTTTTCTCACGGTAGCCTAGGAGATTACAGGCCACAACTGAGTGCCATAACATAAAATCAAGATTACATACCAGGCTGCGATACACATTCTCAAAGAACATTTTAACTTTTTGTTGTAGATTCTTTAACTTCAGGAAGCTGTTCTGGACCATTTCTATATTGATTTTTATTGTATGTCTATTTTCCTATTTTGGTCTCCAGTGATACCCTTGATGACCTTTTCTAGTTCCTTCATAGATGCCCCTGAGAGTCTCTGTCCCCCTCTGACTTATTTGCTGTGGTCTCCATTTGGTCTGATTATTGAACTAAAGTATACAATAGAGATGGGGGTATTTGTATATGAATACGGATTTCCCCGCACAGCTGGACTTACCGAGGAGCGGCCCCTGAGGCCAGACCATTCACTCATGTGTCTGGCGGAGGTAGCAGCCTCACTCATCCTTCCAATCGCTCCGGAGCTACACTCTCTTCCTGCTCGACTGGCTACTCCAAGCAGTGGGAGGGAGGATGAGTCTCCCTGCATGGCTGCTGAGTTGCTAGCTGAGCAGGAAGAGAGTGGAGCTCTGGGAGTGATTGGAAGGATGAGTGAGGGGGCTACTGCACGCGTGAGTGGACAGTTAAGTCCAGCTGCGTGGGGATATTCATATCCCCATCTCTAGTATACAACATCAAATTTTACTCCTCAGTATTGGTGAGTAGCAATATGGAGCTTTTACTGCTGCCTATATAAGTCCTCAATAAACATCATCTATCCTTTTGAGTTCTCTTTCCTTTAGACCAGTGGTTCACAATCCAGGGTCCCCAAATAGTGCTGGCTTTCATATGCAAGAAACTCAACCCAGCATGGCTAACCCATCAGAGATTCTGAGCATTGTAGACCAACAACCAGGGCCTTAGGTCCTAGGATCCAAGTTTGGGAACTACTGTGTTTGCCTTTGAAATCACCAGATTTTAGTTTGTAGCAATAAAGAAAATAAAAAAGCAAATGGCAGTTTTTACTTTGGAATGGGTGGAAGAGGAATCTCATGGGTGGAAGACCGGCGACGCTCAGCTGGTATAGGTTTATCTGTGTTTGGAAATAGACGGAGAAGTCAGATTAATTACAGGATACATATGAGTATATGATCACTTTGTGGGAGTGAGGCCTTCGTATAGGAGCAAACCGTTTTTGAGATCTGAATTTCCACTTATGGCTGTGGTTGATATCTGTAGCTACTGTCAATCATCTCCTCTAAAGATGCTATTTCATACTCAGAAATACAAAGTTAACAGTGTCAGGCATGGTACAGAAGAAGAGTAGTGAAGCTCATTTAATAGTATCCCACTCCTTATTTCTATAGCTTGTTACACTATGTGTTGAGATATCATTCAGCTAACATCTTGCATTGAAGCAAGACCTTCCATTCCTGCGGCAACTGTTCCATTACTGCTTTCACATATTTCCTGCAGCCTAGATGAAAAAGGCATCAAGAGATTCACTGTATACTAAATCCGATTCACATATTTATTTCAACTAACTTCCATCTTGCATGATCTCACTTTGTTTTCTAGAACTACCACCGTCCCTCCATGTATATGCTGTGTTTATGAAACAATAATATAAATCGGAGCTGTCTTTAAGGGAGTTTCTGGATAGAGGGTTCCCACTGATCACAACAAAAGGCAGCTATTCCTTTTTTTTTTTAAACTTCATCAGTTTTCGTTGGCAAGAAAAAAGATAGAAGAAACATAGGAAGACATGTGAATTTCCAGGAAAGAGATGGTCTGAGTGTGCCATAAAGTGTGCCATAGAAGCCACATAATAGTAGTCAACAAATCTGTACTGTTAGGGTCCTGAGTTTGCATTCTTCCTTAGGATAGTCCATTTAGGTCAGCCCTCTTTGCTAGGAATTCAGCAAACAGGAGATATTAGGTGGTTCATCAGACATGAGCCACTAGCAGATTGCGAGTAGATTGCTTAGCCAATCTTTAATCTTCTTTGTTTCTAGCACACACACAAACACGTCGAATTAAATAAATTTAGCTAGTTCATTCTAGATACATCATGGGAAGATGACAATAAACTTAGCAACTCTAATAATCAAACCTCAGAGAAAATTGCTTCCTTGTTTTAAAATAAAAATATATACTTTCACAGAAACAGCTAGAGATTCAAATGGAGATGCAGGCGATTGAACCAGGGGCATACTGTGTGCAGGACACAAGCTCTATAACAGCATTATGGTTTCTTCCCTTCTGACTATTCATAATAGACAGAGAAACTAACCACACATCCTAGAACATTGTATGCTCAATAGAAAAACACTTCAGCCCATCAGAAATAAGCCAATGATAAGATTATAACAGAAACAGCCACTCACCTTCAGCAACATTCAGGTGATCTCTGTCAGGGACACCTGGTTTCTATAACGACACAAAAAGGAAGAAAATAAGGCCTTGTCACATCTCTTGAGTCAGCCAACAGTACAACCTCCCTTGTTTGCCAGACCCAGGGTGCGAGTAGAAAGCTGGAAAAATATATGTTGATCTACTGTGATATGCATGCATGGAAATCGGGTTTCCCTGGGTGAATTTGCTTTAGCCATCTACACGGGAGTCAGCACAAAGAGAGAGAAAGAGAGAGAGGAGGAAATTGCCAACCAGTATTTGTTTGCAGTGTGTTAAGGCAGCTTTTGCTGTAGCCATTCAGATACTCAGAAGTTAGCAGGGGGAGAGGCATGGCTACAGAGGAAGCTACCTTAAAAAGACACAAACAAGTGCTGTTTGGCAATTTCCTCTTCTGTCTCTTGTCTCTCTTTAATAGGTAGCCTAAGTGCTTTACTGCAACTTTATTTTAGTGCTGACATGAAGCCTTAAAACAGAAACAATGTATTTAAAAAATCCCACACAAACAAGCCCCAACAACAATTTGGAGACAAGGGGTGCTTGGTCAAGGGGAACTGACATCCTTGTGAGTATCCCTTTGTTTCGCTGTGACCTCTGCACACACCTCTGTTGCTTATCTGCACTGGCACAAATTATCATACTGCCTGAATTCAGATCAATACATTCGCTTGCAAAAAGTAGAAGCCCAAATGGTGGAGGAAAAAAGCTATGGATTTAGGGGGAAAACCCCTGGCTGATTTGCATTGACCTATATGTCGTGTAGCTAATGGAAAATACTGTACTACGAATCTAACCATGCCAATCCAAGAGCAATTCCTATACTTTTTATCAGTGTAGTTGCCCTCTCAGGTGGGGAAATGTATGCTAAAATGTTCTCAGTCAGTAATCAGATGTTATAGAGATGCCTTGACAAAGATCTCTGCTTGTGATTAAAGGTATTCTGCACTATGAAATGTCCTTGGACAGAGATCCTGTATAAGAACAGAAGAACCAAATATCTACCCTAGTATCTTGCTAGCTTCAGTATCTGCTCCACTTAGTAGGAAACAGAACACTGGCTTGGGAACAGAAGCTGAGGAAATTGTGAAGGTTTCTGCTTTGCGTTGTCCAGAGTAAATTTTTTGGGATAAACATGGTGTAAGCTGCCACATTGGTAACAGTATAATCAGTTCTCCTAACAGTATCCTCAGAACTACTAACATCCCACATGACCATGTATGTTAAAAATTATGGGAGTTGTAGCTCACCATATCTAGAGGACGTCAGGCTGAGGAACAATAATTTAGATTATTGGTGGTTTTATCCGCTGTTTACTATTATCATGGAATGATGAAATGCTGAAGGATGCTGTTTTTTCTTATTTGCTTTCATCTACATCAATGATTCAGAGACTTGAGTCTCCAAAGTTTTTGAGGCTTCAACTCCTAGAAGCCTCACATAGCATGGTAGTTGTCAGAGATTCTTGAGGTACATTATGTTGTCAAACATCTGGAGACACAAGTTTGGGAACCACTGATCTTGAAAACAAGCTTTGAATAGACACAAGTTTGGGAACCACTGATCTATACTCTTGAAAACAAGCTTTGAACTCTACTTAGTTGTATGTCAGGTGACAAATTGGGAACCAATCATCTGTGTTTCATCCACTGAGACAACACTATGTGAGCACAAGACTCCATATTTTGAAGTTTGCAGTGAATATTTGCATTGCAACACTATGTGAGCACAAGACTCCATATTATGAGTGAAGCCTGCTGCTGTTCAGTTTGCAGTGAATACTGTACTTGCATTTGGGGTACTTCAGATGATACCTTAGCTGGAGTGGTTTTTATATGATTGCAGTCTTTTGAAAACTCTTTTAGGAACAAGATTTTGAAACACGGTAGTAATGAAAAAGGCAGCACACATACACACACAAATTTAAAGTAAATGTGAAAAGGGCCAGCAAGGGTGTTCTAAGAATACCAGTTTTTTCCCCCTCTACATGCCGTTTGGCGGAAGGTAATCAATAATTGTATATGAGACAGTCCCCCAAAGTGCTTTTCTTAATGGAGTCACTGTCTGCCCCATGGGAAGCCAACTAATTTCTTTGTGTAAGCACCTTTTCTCAGTACAGCTAGGTTGCCTCCAGAGCCTATGAAAGTGACTTCACGTAGCTAAATTGTCCCCTTTAGTGCCTCTTGTTGCATAAGCTATCATCCTTCTGGTAAGTGGGTTGTTTCCTTGTGTTTGATTAAAACTCTTGAAGGATGCTGGCCAGCAGGGAGGAATGGGGGGTGGGGTGGGGAACCAATTTGCTTGTTGAAGAAAGAGTACTTTAAAAGTACCACCATACTTAAAAGTAGTTAAAAGTATTTTTTAAAAAAGTAGTCAAGCCTGTCCTATATTATGGAAATATAATGAAATAGAAAATCTAGAAATATAAAACAATATCAGTGCATTCAGAAACCTATAGTGGATGAAACTTCCATTTTATATACAGTATTACATTCCCACAGGAGATTAGAAATTGTAAAAAAGAGTATAGTTCTATCATTTCACTTGTATATTGTATCATATGTAATGCATCTATTATGAAGAATTGTTTCAAACCACATTAATTCTTACCCACAATTATATCCACAATTACAAAACAATCCAAAGTAAGTTCTTCATAAATTTTATGAAGAGATACTGTGTATCTTGAAAAGTCTCTGGTTTTCACTCATTCCTCAACTAGATATACAGTCATTTCGTCATGTTTGTTGTTTTCAGTTTTTTTTAAATTAATCAGCATTTCAGTAGCTGACATTTAAGTACTCAAGACCAGAGACTGCTTCCAGCAAGATTTAAAGGCATAATTTAACTAATCTCCTCCAAAAGAAAATAAGATAAATAATTAAAGTATCAGACATATATTCTAATGTAAATGTAATTTGGGAGAGGAGAGGAGAGAATACAGTTCATGAATAATGCCAGGCTGAATTCAGACTTTTAACTTCAATGTAAGTTAATTTTATAAAAAAATAAATCAACTTACTGCTGGTATCTCTGGGTATGGTAGTTTTTTCCTGCAGAAAAAAGTTGCTGCCTTAAATATGCCCTTGTCTTAAATATTCATTTATTTAATTTATTTTATTAGATTTATACCCCGCCCATCTAGACCAAAAGTCTACTCTGGGCGGCATTACAAATTTAAAAACAGTAAAACCAATACAGTGAAATTAAATACAGTATAATTAACACATATAACTTAACAGTATATACAGTGTAACATATTAAAAGATTAACAGAATTTAACATAAAATATCTGAAATATAGCTAAATAAAATGGAAGCCAATACCGTATGCCATTGACTGAGTGGCAGGTACTTTTTATTGGTGCAGGGAGTATCTTCAGCTATGGATATGTGACTTGTGATCAGGGAGTCGAGGAGTCTCTCTGCAAAGCAAACAAGCTGTCTCTGCTTGTACCACATCAAATGCTATTCCAGAGAGTCATCCAGAGTAGCCTTTTAAGGGGCTCCAGTGAAAATGGAGAAGCACAAAATTCCACCACCCTGACTTTTTCCCCCCCTGAATGCAAATTAGGAATCCAAGCAATGGAAATATCTTACAGTATCTCTGATACTTGTAACCCATATGGTAAGCACATATTGAGCCCATCATAACTCCAGAGAATACCAACTTGATGTGCCATACATCAGCTATTCTCCTACACCAGCTCTGGGCAATTTTTTAAAGGTTCAGTGGGGGATACACAGACCATTGAGAATGTAGGAAACATTCATTAAATATTGGGTTTTAAGACCACAATGCTGTTACAAAACTGGAAAAGGTAACATTTTTTCCACATACGTAATCCTTGGAAATGGAGATGGGGCTGTGACAGATGGGAACTTGATTTCTGAAGCACTTTTGCTGATGTGATCTGAAAATTCAAACACAATACTTAAGAGTAATGCATGGAGAAACAGTGGTTTAGAAAATAATGTTCAATTTTCAATGGGCACATTAGAAAAATTACAAAATAAGAAATATGCTGAAAATTAGTAAATAATCCTCAGTCACGACCAAACTCAACCATTAATATTTTTTAGTAGTAGCAGAATCCTTTTATACCCATGTTGCAGACTGGACATAACTGAGACTGCGGGCATGTGGGTTGCCTGAGGTAACTAAGTGCATTCTCAGAAGAGGTAGAAATGAACATCCCACTCCCTTAATGTGATCAGCCAGTCTTTTGAAAGGTACAGGGCATGAAATACTAAAAAATCCAGCAACCACTAGAAAAATTAGACTATATGTGTCATCACGTATAGAAAAAAATGATGATTAACAGTGAGGCTCTAGGCAGGTGTATTCAGAAGAAAGCTCTAATCTGTGCAAGGGGATTTTCTTCCTTCTAAGGACACACTGGTTTGTAGCCTCAATGGAATAATGGGCAATATAACATTTGGGGTGGGTTGTTGCCATCTGAAATAAGCTTGGCTGGCTTCTGGTAATCATAGAAAAGTTTCCTCCATTGTGACTTAAACATAGAATATGCTTACTTCCACTCTCCTGTATTCCAAGACCATCGGGTTCCTAAAATCAAAATGCAATCCTTTGATTACAGTACATAGTTATTTATACAGACAAGAAATAGCATTTCACACTCAAGGATCTTCTCTAGGCATCTGAAATAAAATTAATAGCAATGGCACAGGCTCAACTACTTATTCTGGATCAACAAGATGTAGCTTGGATCAAGCCTCAGAAGCTTTGCCTCTAATGACCCATGTCCAACGGTGTTGCTCTGCCTGTACAGGTTCAGCAGCAGCAGAAATCAAAAGTCTCGAAAATATACAGATAGGATGGAACAAGTGAAGTTTTTAAAAATTGTTTAATGTGGACTACACTTGTACCCTGAGGCACACAGATTTGTGCAACCGTTAAATTCTGCACAACAAATTGCCTGAGTTGTCACTCTGCAGGTGTCACCCTGGACTATGAGTCTATAAGACCATGAAGCAAGTTTTCCAGTTCTGGTTAAGTGGATAATAGTTGAATATATTGTATGCAAAATAAAACCTGCTACTCTTTTAAGGAGATGCAGGACTGCAGCAGGCTAACATGGCTATACATGCGTATACATCTGCTTGTCTATTTTAGTAACCTCGTGATCAATCATTAGTTGGTTTTGCTTTGCTTATAAGTTACAGTCTTTCCTTTTCAAGCTGTGTGATGCTGTGGTAGGCTTTTGATGTCTCTGCACAATACACATTGGCCTCCCATGTACCCTGGAAATGGTAAGCCCTTGCTGTTCAGCAGACATGACTTTAACTCAGGGTTTGGAGAAGCAATTTATCTAGGCTCTGTTTCAATTTACTTATCTGGTCTCTTCTTCACCCCAACCCTTCTTTTACTTTCTTCTGCATATTCAGCATCGGGAATGGAAGACAAGAAATTTCTGACCCTTTTTAATCTGGGTGACAGTCCAGAGGGATAATCACGATGATGGGGAAAAGCCTGTTTTTCCAACAACAAAAAACCCATTTTCTGGGAAGCTATGCTTATCTATTAATAGCAAAATTAGCAAAGAATTCTTGTGGCTCTCATAAAAGAATAGCCAGATTCCTATTGGCACTTGTGTAAAATTTAACGGAAATGAATGTGGCTTTAACCCAGTTGTGAAGGGGAATTTAGCTACTTACAATTTTTGGTGGAGGACGCTGTCTTGGAAGTGGCAAAACATTTCTGCAAAGTTTAACACATGTTTTAGTCAAGCAATGCCCGTCACCCAATTCAAATTGTAACTATCTATTTTGTTCTCATTTTAGTTTCGTCAGCAATATAGGTAGTGAGCATTCTCTTGTTGGGATATACAACGGTAAGGGGGAAAGTCTAGAGCGGTGGTTCCCATCCTTGGTATCCAGATGTTCTTGGATTACAACTCTACCACTAGCTGTGCTGGTCAGATTTTCTGGGAGTTGTAGTCCAAGAATATCTGGGGACCCAAGGCTGGGAACAACTGGTCTGGAGGGTTTTGGGCTCTGACATATATGTTGCATGTTAGAAAACATTCTAGGCAACACTCACATACGTGGCTTAACAATGGCCCAAACCCACACTGAAGGTGTGCAGTTTTCTCCAGTTGATGGTGGTTCAGCTGGCTGATGAAGAACAGCAGAGGACCACCACAGGTTTCAAGTTTAATATGGCTGAATTAGGAATGGTTTAAAGAAAAAATTACTTAGCTGTCTCCTTAACATTACCTGTGGCATCCACTTAGGAGTATAGGGAGTATAAGTCTTGAATTAGTTGTCAGACTTCTGTTGTCACTTTACCCTTTGTTTTCACAGTTCCCCTGGAGTCTAGCAGTCACTGACACTTATTTATTACATTTAAACCCAACTTTTCCATCAATGAACATGGAAGAATACACAAGTTGTTCCATTCCTGCCTTTCTTATTTCCCTCCCAAACCTTGTGAATTTGCTTATGTCCTCAAAGCCAGCAACCAGCCCAAAGTCAACTGATGAACTGTTTAGATGAGCCCAGAATCCATAGGCTCACACTACAGTTCTTAGGACAAAGTCTAAATGTACAAAGCATGCCAGCTTTTGAATTTCTAGAGAACCTCTATAGGTCTCTCCCTTCCAAATACATACTACATAATAGCACACTGGGTGCCCAGGCTTTTTGGATAACATACTGTACGTGTTTGCTAGCTAATATTCTCTTTAAGAACATTAACTTTGTTTTTTTTTTTTAACCAACCTGTCAGGTTTAAAGGATTCATTGACTGTGTTCTGTTCATAAGGGCGTCCTCCGGATGGCCTCTGAACAGGCTTTGGAGGAAGTGGCTTTGAAATCCTGATGGGGAAGATATATAGATAAATATGGTTTCCACAGATCCTGAGCAGCATTCAAATTACGTTCAATACACACACAAATCAGTTCTTGGAATAGCAACAACAACAACAATAATAACAGCAATACAACTTCATCCCCTCCATGCTTTTGTCCCTTTCCTAATGCAAGCACATGTTCTGCTCTAAAACATCAGTGTTTTGGAACAGCAGTAAATGAAATATAAAGTGCGGTAGTCAAAAGGCAGACTCGCTGCCTCTGCCAGCAGATCCCCACTATGACCATAAAATATTTCCTAAACAGTGATTGCTACTGCTTGTGCTAGAGAATTTATTAACATTTTACATTAATAATTGGTAGCAATATGTGATAGATTTGTAGACTGTAACAACTGGAGAGCATTCAACCATAACTTCCACACAGAACAGACCTGCCTCAGGAGGCTGAGAAACGATGTTTATCGTCTTTAAATGGGCCTTTTAAATAAAATAAACATCCTGAGATACATCTTTTCTGACAACTTTGTAAATAAACATATTGGGAAAGAAATCCATTTATTATATAATTAATGGAACACTAGCAAATCCAAAATGTATTAAGCAACATATTGTTGCAATCTTTCACCCAGATTTATGGAAATGTGCCTGAATAAACTCAATAGGACTGGTCTGAGAGAACATACCGGTACTGTGAAAGAACCATAGAAATCAATGGGATGGAAATGATTTATGTGCCATATCATTTATCTACATGAATATAAGAATGACTGGGTTGAATTTGAAAAGCTTTTTTTTCTCCTTTTTCCCCTTTCCCGTTTTATTAAGTTATAGAAAGAAGAATAATGAAAGCAAAAGTAAGTTTACATACATTTCTTACATGACTATACATGACAAGTGAGTATACATGACAAGTTTACATACATTTTACATTTGTATACATGACTTATACTCTACATTTTATACTAAACATACAATTCTATAATTTAAATTTACTTAATCTTTTGAAATGCATGCTCTGCTCATCCTAAATTCTATCTTATTCTCAGTCCACATTTTTACTCTTTTAACTTCTTTTTTCCTTTTTACGAGTATTTTTACAGCATTATTTCTGTACCCCTTTAAAAAGTTTTTACAAAACACATAATGTCAATCATATAAAGGAAAATTTTCTATTTTTACTGGGGAATGGTATAAGTGTTTTCTATTTCAGTTGAAGTGTCATGATGCAAGGATGCATGATGCCCAACATATAACATATCAAATTTGTACGCTCTTTACTTCCTATTTAAAGGGAAATATATTGTGTGAGAGATCATACAAGAATGCCTGCCTTTCTACAGAAGCATAGGACTGATACATGTGATGGCACAGCGTGATGATACTTTGAATGTATGAATGGAAAGCATTAAAAGGAGAATGCTGATATTTACTAGCGCCTCAAGTGGTGCATAGCTGGATTACTGTGTAGACTATGCACTCAAATATTCTCATAACATACACCTGCAAAGGTCTTAGAAGAGGGCTGCATGTTGCTTAAAAGAGGTTACATTCAAAGAGATTCACGAGGCAATTTCTTTGTAATTTCTCTGTCATTGCTTCATTAACCAAGGGCTTGTTTTACATTAGCCGTTTTGGAGTGGGCTGATGCTGGTTAAATAGGGTCACTTGGGGTTTTGGGGAGGTGTCATATGTCATTTGGTGCAAGCTTCACATCCAAATGGCATATTGGATGTCAAGCAACACTATTTATTCCATTTCCTTCCCATACTGTGAAGTGGCTTAATAAATGAACACTTCAGGATATTGACAAATTGAACACTTCTGCTCTTCAGAGAAGAGGCAGGGGAAGTGAATTATTTAAAGAGACTCTGGTATTCTTTTGCTAAGGCACTGCATCAATTTTTTTAAAAAAAGATAAAGTAATATTTTCCTTGGGTTGTCTGAAGGGCCAGTCAAAAATTGGCTCCGGGCAGATTTTTTTTACCAGTCCTTTGACAGAAACCAAAGAAAATATTTTCTTTCTTTTTTAATGATGCAGTGTATCAGCAATGGTCCATTAGACACCTCAAACACACACACACACACACACACACACACACACTTCATCTGCTTCTGTGCTAAGAAGCAGAGGAAGCATTCAATTTGCCAATATCCTGAAGTGGCTCGCTTATTAAACCACTTCACAATCCAGTGATTCAAACTGGAAAGAGCCAAGACAGCTGGGAAGGCTCAATTTGGTTTGTTACAGCAATCACACACACTGGAAATGGACCAGACCAGAGCTATCCTAACTGCATCAAAAAGGCAGAAGCCTCTGACAGAGCCTTAGTAAGGTGCAGGTAGGATTGCTCTGGGAACAGTTTTATTTGCTCCAGTAATGACATTGTGTGATCACCAGAAAAGAGAGTAAACCAAACCATCCCCACGGCAAATCAGAAATTGGGACAAATGCCCATCTGACTGACCCCTAAGATAACCACAAAATGCATCAGAATCCACATGCAAGTATAAAAGGAAGCTTCATCAGGGTAGGTGCTTCTTCTTATCCTTCCTGTAACGATCTAGCTTGATGAAGAGTGCTAAAGAATCTGAAAGCTTGCTTTCAAAGTATTGTGGAATTACATTTAGTCCTAGTAAAGAAACTGCTTGCCTTTGGATTTGGGACTTTGTTTAGTTCTTATGGATTAACACAATGACAAGCATCTTACTCCCAGAAATTTCAGACTACAACTCCCCTAACCCTCAGTCAAAAGATATCTCTATAAAATCATTAGAAATCATTTTCATGATTGGAAAAAAAGTTTTTACAGAATGTTAAAACAGTTTATTACCCAATTACTGCAGGTGATGACTTTTCCTACGGGGAAAAAACAAACTGTTGATTAGTATTCGCAAATTATGCATTGGGCACTAGCTTTCTTATGGAACAAGACCCGGCTGAATTATAGGTATCCTTGCTGCTGTTCCTCTTATTTTGTTTTCATGTAGAAACAAGAATTCTGCATTGACGTGATAGAAAGGAGCTGAAATGTCTGCTATGATGTATGCACCACCACAGAGATATACTGGAAAATAGGGTGGTGAGGCTCAAGAAGCAAATCGTGGGGGCAATCAGAATGTACTCTCCTTGAGTCTAAGCATTTAAAATGCAATTCTGAAGGTGTGCCTAGGTTTTCCTTCTTCAATTGAAGACCAGCTTGCTACAGTGTGCATCGAGAGTTTCTTTTCAGCAGTGAAATTTAGGAATTTGGGCAGGCTGAGAATTTGTATCTTTTGATTTCAGGGAATTTTGTTTTATTTTCAGGGATGTGTGTAGAAAGGGGTCTTACCTCTTCTTCAGGCACTTCATAGACATCTGGATAAAACAATAACCAAGATAGCATGTAGTCAGAAACAGATAAGAAATTAAATTATCCACACGCAGAAGTGGATGCAGGAATGAAACATAGACTTCTGTCTTTTCAGAAGTAAGAGTCATTTTCAGTGAGGCTTATTCCCAGGAAAGTGCGTTATAGGATTTTAGCCAAAAAGCACTGGGATAATATTGGGCAGTCATACATCATGATAATCCTCCCAGTCCCTTCTACCCCTGTACATCGATCAGCCCATGTTGTTCAAGAAGGCCCTCTGACCTTCAAAAAAAGATTCTTGGGATTGCAAGGGACTGAGGAAGGAGAAGAAATGGGAAACATGCCTTCAGTTACAATCAGCACTTTGAAATGGGTCTAGAAAAGCACTACCTTACAAAATAATTTCACATTTTAGCTGCGGCAAAGGATGAAATGGACAGACAGACATAATATTGCCAACATCCACTAGGGGGCAGTATTTTGTTTTGAAAGCAATACTGGGAGGGACCGAAGCCTGTTGTTACAGATCTCTACAATAGACATAGAAAAGGCTTCTCTTTCTGGTAGGACTTGCTTCTCCATTGTGTATGATAGTGGACCCTATTGATCTTAACAGCGCCCTGTTTCCTGTAGCTGGGCCGATGGTTGAGTTAGGACCCATTCACCATCCCATATCAGCTCCTGGTATATGGTAAGCACAACATTTCTTACAGCTTTCTGTGCAGAATCTTGGCCACGTGGGTGGACCATCAAGAAGTCTGCTCTAGGTATCTCAAGGAGTGGATTTGGGCAGGAGCAAGACCATTTGAACAGGCAAATTTGTATAATATGGTATCATCAATACAAAGTACTGCTAATAACTTTTTAAAGTACATGATTACTTACGATTGCTTTTCAAAAGTAGCTAAATATTGAGAAATGCTATCTGATTGTAAGAAATATCCTCAGCATCTACTGTACAAATACCAGCTACTTAGCTCTCCGATCATCCTTCTCTTTCAGCAAAAATGCTGTTTAGTATGTGGAAATGGGAGCTAACTTAATAACTTAATTATGTAAAGAGTTGTTGCATAATTAGGTTGCAAACTGCCCAGAGCGTGCTTTAGCACTATGGGCAGTATATAAGTTGAGACAACAATAACTAAAACATGTTCCACTTATTAAGGCACATATTTCATACCTAATGTAGAAGGTGACACAGGAGGCAACGTTGCTGAACTGGGAGGATCAAATCTGGGGGTGGGCTTGATAGATCTGTTCACCATGGGAGCTTGAAATGACAAAGAAAAGTCATGTCATGTTAAAGCAAGATTGGGCAAAGTATAACCCCTGACACTGCCTGTAACCCCCCCCCCCGGGGCTCATTTTCTGAGCTGTTGTTCTGAGCCTCCACTAACAAAAAAATTATTTCCCAACAAAAACTTGGACCCCTCCCCCCCCAAAAAAACACTGCCACTTATATTTCTGATAGGTTGCAAGGGGCCTCTGCAGCACTAAACACATACACAGGGAAATATCTATTTTTCAGGGCTGTTAAGTGAAATTCTGTCCACTTCTGGTTTCATCCTTTGGTTTTCTTTCATATTTTTGGTAGGCCGTGAGACTGGAGAGAATCTTGGAAACAGAAAGTTATCCTTTCCACTTGCCAAAGTTGTCCACCTCTGTGCTAAAATCAAAGCTTTGTTGTTTAGTCCTTAAGTCATGTCCGACTCTTCGTGACCCCATAGACCAGACCATGCCAGGACTTCCTGTCTTCCACTACCTCCCCGGAGTTGGTTCAAATTCATGTTGGTTGCTTTGATGACACTGTCCAACCATCTCGTCCTCTGTTGTCCCCTTCTCTTCTTGCTTTCACACTTTCCTAACGTCAAGGTCTTTTCCAAGGATTCTTCTCATGAGATGGCCAAAGTACTAGAGCCTCAGCTTCAGGATCTGTCCTTCCAGTGAGCACTCAGGGTAGATTTCCTTCAGAATGGATAGGTTTGTTCTCCTTGCAGTCCAGGGGACTCTCAAGAGCCTCCTCCAGCGCCACAATTCGGAAGCACCAATTCTTCAGCGGTCAGCCTTCTTTATGGTCCAGCTCTCACTTCCATACATTGCTACTGGAAAAACCATAGCTTTGACTATGCGGACCTCACGAGTTCTTTGAGACAGAGAACAATTTTTTATTTTATTTTCCTGAGCCCTTAGAAACTCTAATGTGCTTCTTTACAGCATAAACTATATGCACTTCTCCTCATCTACATGGACACTTCATTATGCCATAAAGAAGTCCATAGATTTAAATATGATTTCTCTAAAAAAATGAAATGAATGGCTCAGTGTGTGAAGACACAGGTCAGAAAGCAGTATGACTGAAGGGAATAGCATGCTGTCAACCAGTAGAATCTGATGACATGGACAGAACACCAAGAATATTATTAAAATCCACCAAAGGTCTAGTCATTGATCTGTACAGAATTTGAAAATGTTCCCAAAGTATGGGCATGGTCTTGATCAAGTGTTTCATCATGTACCTGACTGCACAACTAATACAGGCCTGGCACTGCTTCAGGTGTTCACAATTAGCTACAGCAACGTAAGCAAACCTTATGCAAATACTAATAGGATTCTGCCCTGTATCTTATGAAGTTAAAAGAGGGGTTTTCTCTTGTCTCCGTTTCTTTCATCAAGGAGGACTCTGTTCCTCCTCCTTTCACTTTGATCACTCTTTTTAGAGGCGATGGTGAGGAGGAAGGTCTCATTGAAAGGAATGTATATGTAAACTTAATTTGAATGTCTATGTCTGACAGCAGCATTTTAAATACTTTTATTCTTATAAGATGGAAATAGTCTGGCAAATGTCAGAAATGATATCATTTATGTGGCTTCATGAATGTGTATATAGAAAAATTCTCATAGTTACGTTTTACAGGTTGTGGTGTGCTTTCTTCAGTGGGTTCAATGTAATTATCCTCTTCATCATCAACAGGCACTACATAATCCGCCTGAGAGAAAGCAGAGGGATGAATTAATATAGAACTTAGGTAACACAAAGGAGAAGCCACACAATATAAACAATGCCCCGCAGCTCACCTCACCTTCAGTGTAGGGCTTTAAGCACATTTCCATTTTTCCTTTCTAATAAATGGGACTTAAAACTGCTTAACTCTCAGATGGATTATGACCATGTAATCCAAGAGTGACAAATCAATACATAATAACACTAATATCTCTCTTTGTCTTGGCAAGGCTATTGATAATCAATCTTCTGTGGAGGGCACCTCTTTCCTGAATAATTATTTCCTTCCACTTCAACATCCCAAGGAGAAAAGATCATTTGTTGATTTGTTTTTCCCCTTGACTCTATTAATATTTGCAAATATTTTTATTTGTACTTCGTAAAACCTTGATGAGCCCATTGTTTGAGATGTCTGATCTGGTTACAGTGATGCATTCCACCTGCGCTACTGCAATGCAGTGTGTGCGGGACTGCCTTTGAAGAGTGTTTGGAAACTGTAGCTGGTTCAAAGTGTGGCAGCCAGACTCTTGATTGGTGCTGGTTAGGGAGAACATGTGATTTCCTTGCTACAACAAATTCACTGGCTTTGTTTTTAGGTCCAACTCAAAGCGTTGTCCATAACCTAAAGATCCCTCTACAGCCTGTGTCCAGGCTATCCAAAGGATTCTATCACCCCATGTAAGCCCCTCCAGCTTTTGAACAATCCCATTGCTCTCACAGGGTTGTTTGGTAGCGAAGCAGGAAGATAGTCTTTTCAGTGGTTGCTCCCATGCTGTCGAAACAGTTTTCTGTTTTCCTTTTTTGGGGCGGGGGCAGGCTTTCAACTGTCTTGGACAAGTCAGGGCTATCATGGAGTGTGGTACTTATTGAACTGAGGGAGGCATGTTTGTAAGTGTTTTTAAATGATGTTTTTCAACCCTGTTACTTAATTTTTTTAATTATTATATATTGTTGGCTGGAATCCTGTTGCTCAGAGTAGTAAGGTACACTTGAGTGAGCTCATTTGATTCAGTGGAATTTATGGAGGAGTTAACTTACCGAATCCCCACAGATTCAATGGGCTTACTCTAGTGCTTATACTCTAAGCAACAGGATTTCAATCAATGATTTTTAAATTGTGTTTATTGTTTTGATTGATTGTGAGCCTGCTTGAGTCACCTGTGGGGCTAAAGTAGTGTATAAAGTAAGTAAGTAAAGTAATAAGTAAATAAATGAATAGTATAAAAATTCTATAATAAGCCTGTCATTCAGTTATGAATAAATGCATAACCACATGCTTCAAAAACAACCAATAAAAATAAATAAAATTTTATTATCCAGGTCTGAAAATCACATCATCATCATTATGTGCTGTCAAGTTAATTCAGACTTACGGCTACTCTTCTGGATTTTCTAGGTAGACAGTACTCAGATGCGGTTCACCATTACTTTATTTAGTGGCCATCCTGGGACTGTGCAGCTTGCCCAAGGCCACACAGGCTGGCTCTTTGGGGAATCATAGTGGGGATTTGAACTCCCAACCTCTAGCTCTGCAGCTTGATACCTAACTCACAGGGTTATCCAGCCAGCTAATAATTGTGTGCAATCAAGTCAATTCTGACTTATAGCAGTCCTTTTCAGTGTTTTCCAAGTAGTGAATACTCAGAAGCGGGAGCATCTTGGGATTGTGCATTTTCCCAAGATCACACAGACTGGTTCTTCTAGGATGCACAGTGGGAAAGTGAACTCCAAACCTCTGGCTCCACAGCCAGAAACCTAATTCATTGAACTATTCAGATAGCTTTTGCTTGAAAATATGCATGCACTAAAATGCTTTACAATAGCCTTCTTCAACCTGGTGACCTCCAGATGTATTAATGAACAACTCCCATCATCCCAGTCACATAGCCATGCTAGCTGGGAATAACGGCCATTACAGGATAAAATTTACCTCACAGATTTCACATGCGGAATATGTCTCACACTGCACAGCTGTCTTGAGGACAGTTAGTGGCTGTTATGCCAATGTGAACAGCTTGAGAAGATGTTCCCTGACAAATATTTTATACTTATTACCATTAAGGACTTTGCTTATAGCAGATATTGAAGAAGTAATAGTACTGGGATTATAAAAGTCCATTCTGACTTTTAATAAAGAAAATTTGAGAAATGGGCCTTTGGGGCTGTTTGACAAATAAATGTATGTCCATCATGAGATTTCCCAATACAGTAGTGCCTCGCTTGACGACGTTAATTCGTTCCAGCGAAATCACTGTAGAGCGAAACGTCATCAAACGAAATAAAAAAACAATTGAAACGCATTGAAAACCATTCAATGCGTTCCAATGGGCTGAATACCTGCTCGTCCAGTGAAGATCCTCCATATGGCGGCCATTTTTGGTGCCTGTAAAGCGAGGAATCTGTCCTAGAAAACAGCGGGGGGCCATTTTCTTCAGCCGGTGGCCATTTTGAAACTCGATGATCAGCGATTTGCTTATCGTCGTAAAGCGAAAATCGGTTCCCGAAGCAGGGAACCGATCATCGCACAGCAAAAAGCCCCATTTAAAACATCGTTTTGCGATCGCAAAAGCGATTGCAAAAACGTCAACATAAAGCGGATTCATCGTAGAGCGGGGTAATCATCCAGCGGGGCACGGCTGTACACGATTACTCCAAATTGTTTGAACTGACTCAAGTAAAAAGAGCTACGCATGAGGTGTTATGAATGTCTCACCTGTATGAAGTAATAGATTAGCCGCCCAGAGTAGATTCGTCTAGGTGGGTGGTATAAAAGCCAAATAAATAAATAAAATAAATTTTACAATAGGATGTGAATGTGGGAGAGGAAAAGATGGAGCCAAGGCATGTTTAGAAGGAGAGGGGCCAGGCTGTTGTGATACGATGAAGTGCTGCTTCTGTGCCTTTGTCAGACTGAGGAGTGGTAGCTTCCACAGTTGAAAGTCTGCTCATGCATACACATTGTTGAGGATACAGCCTCCTTTTTGCTTTCCTAAATTCCATGTGAATTCTGAACTCTGAATTCCGTAGTGGAAGTAGGATGTGCTAGATTCATAAACTAGGTAAGAATATGAGATTAACCTGCCTTTGGCTTTTTTTTGTCTGCAATGTTGGTAGGACTAGCTTTGCATCTGATGACTAGTCAGATCTATCTGCAATCTTACCTCCTCGTCAGTTAGCTTAGGTGGGGGGTTTGGCTTCAGTGCAGCAGAGGGTGGCGGCAAAGCAGCTGGTTTCTTTGGTTTTGATGAAGACTGATTTGGCAGAGTAGGCAGTGGCTTGGCCCCCAGCCATGGTTTCTGCTGGCTTGGTTGTTTGTTGTCTATAAATGACAGAGGAAAACTAAGAATAATTGTTAACATTTGAAAGGTTACCTGATCCCCTTTCATATTTATGCAAGGATGTAACCCTGCACCTGTCTGCTAAATCCAATAGTGCAATTATGAATGATAGTAGTGCAATTTATGAATGACCATGAATGATTCGGCCCTAATTAATGAGGTGCCAGTTCTTATGGCCACATGCTTGGCGTGTTGTTAATTAGCCTCAATTAGCTGCTGTGACACCTGCTATTGTACTACCACATGGGAAAATCAATAAAGTTTTGGCCCATCTGATTTGAGAAGCATCAGAATGTCTAGACTAGATTTAATTTTGAATTGCAGATCACACCTACAAAGCTATTTTGAGTGGGACATCTTTATCTTGATTAGAAATTGAATAAGATATTTTGTCAAAGTCACTTTCACTTGAAATCCTCATTGGAATCCCAGTCTAAATGGTCCCTTTTAATCTACATAAAATGTAAAGTACAATAATATATTGCACTACAGATAGACTGATGTTCAGCTACAAAAATCTTCCACAGGTACTATCCCTTCACATCGGCTGCTAACATTATTTCAAAATTAGGAGCAATAAAGATCTTTATGAGATATCATAAAATTTGACTCTGGGGGGTTTAACAAAACAATGTCACTGAAAGAATCAGGTACTCTGGATATATACTCCATATTCATTTATTTTATGTTTTGTCATAATCTGTGGTCTAAATCCAACTGGGGCAGAAAATGTATCATTTGAATTTATGCAAATGTTGACTCACAATTCAACCATTGATTAAGTGAGTTTAATTGAATTGGCATTATAAACTGGATACAGATATTGATTAAAAAAATCTTTCTCATTCTCTTTTCTGAAAATTGTAGTACATTGTAAAGATGTATCCTCTAATCATGAACCACTGGTCACTTTCCCCAAATGACAATACTCTCCTTTCCCCCCTTCCCCCTCTTTTTTGATGGGACCTAAGTGCCAGAGATTAAATGAGAAAAAGATATTGTGAAGGAGATCAGGAGGCAAGTGAGCTATCCTCACCATCAAGACCAGCCAAGGAGGAGAAAAACATTAATGAGAAAGATATGGGAGGGATAACAGGGATGTTAGCTGAGGGAAAAAAGAACATATAACTTTGTCTAGTGGAGGAAGGAGAAGGAAAGGAAGGGGAGGAGTTAAGACTCTCAATGTGGGAGGAAGATATAAAAGAGGAGGAAGAAAGGAGATTTGGAGGTAGATGGGAAAAGGAGAGTGAAGAGAATAAAGAATCCATTAAAACAGATCAAAGAGAACAGAAGTATGAGCAAGAGCAGGATTTACTGACTTTCCAAATCTTAAAGTAGGAGGTTTACTGCCTGACCCAGAGACTCCAAAAGAAGGAGAGGCAGTATATGAGACGCTGGAATGGACAGTTATAGGGTTCCCGTGGGGGCAAGGTTGTGGGAAAAGGGTGATACGTCCCGGTCCGGTCTACAACCCTCCACCGAAAGAAGGAGACTGGGTGCGTCACCCGTGCTGTGGGATGGTTTGCATGATGAGGAGTGCACCCCTGCGCAAGATCACTGACCATGAATGATTCGGCCCTGCACCACAGTGAGTGGGACACCAATAGAAGAAAAGTCTACATGGACTAGTTACGGCCAGTTGCCGGATTTGACTTGTTTTGATCCTGTTGGTCTAATAAGTGATACGCCGCAAGTTAAGAAAGTTGAAGACGAAAACAGTTTAAATAATTCTCAGTCTCTTCTTCCCGCCAAAACTGAGGAACTGTCAGTGCTTTCAAAAGAACCCGATCACAGATATTAAGAGGAAAATTAAATGACAGGTCCAAGGAAGAATTCTCCACACAGCATCTAAGTAATGTATGGACCTCACAGACACGAGGTGGATAATGACCACCTTGAACAATTTTACAAAGGGACTAGACAAATTCATGTAGGATAAATTGTTTCCTAGTTGTCATTGAGCACTTCCTGATATAGGAGAAATAGGAATACCAGTTGCTGAGGAACAAATACATGGAAAGCTTTCAAATCCAGGCTTTGAAGCATTTGATTTGTCAAGCCAGAAGTTGGACCAGACGGACACTACAATTCCCATCTCTCTGAGTCAGCGTTTCCAGTAGTAAAGGGCTGCAGAAGTTGTGATCCAAAATATCTGAAGGGACAAGATCCCCATTTCTGATCTGATACATTAGGTTTTCTCTTGTGTCCTTTTGACGGGGTTGGCTTTCTCTCTGTCTGGAACACAGACCCACCTGTTCAGGCTTACCTCAGAGAAGGAGATCCAGGATACTAGGGCTGGTCACCATTTAACTCCCTTCTGCTTCCTTTGAATTCTATTCCACTGGTGATGAGCTTCATTAGAGAAATCAGCTCAAGGAATGGACCATCATGATTACCTGCATATTCTCCTCCAGAACATGAGAAGGCTATGGGGATCTGTTTTTTTTCCTGTTCACTTGGAGGAGGCTCATAGCTATCATCACAATTGTCTTCATTAGGAACCACATATGTATCAGAATCGGAGTGGTTGTCAGGGTTTTCATAATCACTGTCCTAGAAATAGAAAACAGCTCATTTTCTTAGTAACTAGGGCATACAATTGTTTTAAAAGGAGACACAACATGCCTTAAACTCAGAAATTTTCAATATCCCTTCCTTTTAATAATGCCAGAGTATGTGAGCAGTGATTCTCTAATCCCACAAATGGCATCTTCACACATTTTTATTGTACATTGACTGTGATGATCTTTTGCAGACGTAAACAACACAGAGGAGTTTTGTTATCACTTGACAAACACTTTTCATTTGCAAGAACTCATAAATTCAGCTGGGAGTCAAAACAACCCTGATTTAAGAGGGAAGTACAAAAACACACAAAATAAGTCAAAAGGAAAACAATAACATTAATGCTGGTAGCATCCCCATGGATATTCCTAGTTCATTTTTATTTAGTAATTGCAGTATATCTCTCATTTCATCTGATAAGCTAAAAGTGGAGCATATGGCTCTCTTTATTTTAATAACAAGCCACTCTGAGAAAAGGATGTAAGGTATATATTATTATACTAATAATATCCTGCTGCTAATCCCAACTGCCACAGACTCAATGGGATTTATTTAAGTGTTGCCTTATTATTCAATAATTGATTCAACAGATGTACTCTCTAATTGAGTATCAATAGGATAATGGTCATTTTCTCATAGCATATCATGTCATATCATACCATATGATATATGATATTATATGTCAATCTCTTTCCCAACTATTCCTCAAAAATATGTGTACATGGTTTCAAATAGGAACAAAGGGTTTGATCACAAGCGGAAATAGATCACTATTTTACCTTCACAACAACTTTCTATCAGTCAAGCTAAGAGTGACTGGTGAATGGTCAAGCTGAGAGAAACTGGTCAAAGGCTCAGTGGGCTTTCTTCCTGGATCTCCCAGGTCTCAGTCCTACACTCCAGCTGATGTACCACCTGGCTTGATATAGCATATAAAGTCCCTGTGATGGCCACTATGGTGGTCTGGGAGTAATACAAAGCACAACCAGAGGGAAGATTTGTCATATTCTTATCAGCATATGTCATAGAGGCAGAGGTTTACGACTCAAACTCTATGCACATATGCTAGTAACACTGTGCAGAAATTACATGCTGTCCACATTAGATGGCATGGCCTTGACCTACCTTGGGCCATTTACTGTCTCTCAGACTAAACTTTCTCACAGGGTTCTTGTAAACATAAAATTGGAGAGAAGAATTGCCTCTTTGGAATAATAGTTGGAAGAAATACGATTTAATATAATACAGTATATAATATAGTATAGTATAATATAATATGATATAGTATGATATATTAAAATATAATACAATAAATACTCGGGTAGATAAGAAATGAAGATGCACAAATGCCAGGAAACCATTTGGATGAGCTTCTTCTACATATGGTGCAAAAGCTCTACTAAAGTAAGGTTAAACAGCTATGATTTGATGCCTTCTCTTGATGCTGTGAGACAGAATGTGCCATTTTCCAGTGCCAGCTTCTTAGTTCCCAGCTATAAAATTACCGTGGAGTGTCTTGATAGAGATAGCAAGATCCATTAGGTACAAAGGCTAGTATCCTGTTCCACATATAGTGAATGCAACAGCAAATGTGGTTACAGTTGCAGTAATATAGGGAGGTAGTTGCACAAGCAGCCAAGTGACCATTCTTCTGTACCACAGCCTCCTGTACATTTACTATTATGTGGGAGTTAAACTAAACAGGATATTGGCCAAAGGCATATATAGTGGTGTACTTGAAAAATTATGCATTTCTGCTTCTTGAATGTGTGACCACAAATGTGAGGATATTGCCTTTCTGCATGGAGTTATTCAAGCACAGAGTACAAATGTCATAACTGAAAATTATTTGAATAGGTGTGGAGTTGGATAATTAATATACTTACAAAGTCATCTGACCACTGTTCCTCTTCATCTAGATGGTCTGAAGTAAACATTAAAATTTGTTTGTTAGCCAGAATCTTTAGAGGACAAGCATGCAACCTAGATTCTAAAGCAACCACCATACTGTTCTGTACAGTGATCTCATTTGATTTGGAGTCCTAAGCAGGGTCAACCTTGGTCAATATTTGGGTGGATAGCTACTAGAGAATAGCAGATATCTCCGAGAGAGCAAGGAATTGCGCTGAAATCCAGTGAGTACTATCGGTGCCACTCAAAATTGATAATGCTGGTCTAGATAGGTTGATGGCTTGACATAGTGGCTTAAATCCAGTAGTAAGTCACAACTTGAGTAGGTCCACAAATCCAGGGAGTATTTGGTGAGTCAATTCCTCTGTAAATTCCATTGATTCAGTGGGTCTACTCTAATTGTGAGGTATGACTTGGTTTCAGCCAGTATAAGGCAGCTTCCTTGAAAAGGATTTAAACAGTCCATCCACAAAAAACTCCTGTTTGAATTTTTCATTGGGCGTAGTACTAATATATCTTGGAATATTCCAGTTTATATTATTAGTAAATGCTATGAAAAATTTAAGTAGGAGATTTTTGTAGATGGATTACTACAGATTCTCAAACCATTCTGGCATAAACTGAATGCAATCTGGGAGATGTTTACTATACGTAAATCCAACAGAATAAATCCTGATGCAATCATACAGAGAGCAGTGCCATTGATTTAAATACATTTATGTTAAGCATGACCAAGAAGGGAGGGACGTGGTGGTGCTGTGGGCTAAACCGCAGAAGCCTGTGCTGCAGGGTCAGAAGACCAAGCAGTCGTAAGATCAAATCCACGTGACGAATCCCAGCTCCCGCCAACCTAGCGGTTCGAAAGCATGTAAATGCGAGTAGATAAATAGGGACCACCACCTGGGTGGGAAGGTAACAGCGATCTGTGTCTAAGTCGCACTGGCCATGTCTTCGGACAAAACACTGGCTCTATGGCTTGGAAACGGGGATGAGCACCGCCCCCTAGAGTCGAACACGACTGGAGAAAAATTGTCAAGGGGAACCTTTACCTTTACCTTTATGACCAAGAAACCAGTGAAAATAAAGTGCACAGCTCCATGATGAAGGGGTATGTTTTAAGACTAATTCAAGAAAGAGGATAATAGGGAATTCAGTTTTATTGTTGTCTGTTTCTGGATTTTGTTTTTCATTTCTGAAAATCAACCAAATCCCAGGTTATGAATACATTTTAAAAATTCTAGTACTGTAGTGCTTTATTATACGGCAATTTGTGCTTGTGGACAAGAGATTATCATCATGTGATACTACATATTATAGTACTTACATAACTTACCACTTGGTTTGATCATGCAACCTTGTAGACTTATTTCCTGTATCTACCCTGCATATCAGCTACTAACTAATTCAAAATTTGGTGGTTCCCTTCCTGTGCTAATGAAGCACTGTCACTTTGTCCATTATCTGCAATCTCACTTGGTCATGGGGTTATGTATAGATATACTGGTCATCAAGATTCCTTCTAAGGTGCAAGCCTAAATGCACAACTCGCCCCCCCTCTGCACAGCCTTCCTCCTTCTCTGCACATTGACAGCAATCATTTTCAATCCCTTTGCTTCTGGTTGCAATGGAAACCTGCATGCGCGTGCGGGGGGGGGAGAAACATGTGTGCAAAGGGCAGAGCCCCACCCAGTGGGGCTGAATTTTGAATTACTGGTCATATATTCTTACTCCAAGTAAGGTGGACTTGATCCATAAAAATTCACAAAGAAAGGTTAGCTTTTAAGGAGCCATTAGCTTTTTATTTATTTAATTTTTTTGTTGTTTTGCTTTTGTGTGGATACACACATATAGGATTATGATTTTATGGGATAATTTTCTCTCTCTTTTTTTCTGGTGCTAGCCATCTTAATCGCCAGGTACCATGCAGCTGTAGGGCAAGCATTAATTCTCTGCTCCATGGACTGTAATCAGCACTGTTTTGGGACTTTAGAAAACTCTAGACACCAGGATATGCAACCAGGACTGGGGTTGCTCGTTAATGCAACAAAAGTGGAGACAACTCCATGTTGCACATAAACATGACTCGGTTGAAACTGGGTATGTTTGGTCAGACATACTGTAAATATCCATAATATCATAGCTACACACCATCTTCCCAGTGGAAACCACCTAACTCACCTACCCAGCCACTCATATACCCCGTTAGGCAGATGAGATTGGGGAAACAGTGGTGGTAGCATCCCCATTCCTCCTGGGCCCCAGCAATTCCCTGCTGGCAGAGGACAGAGCTACTTGTGTCATGTGGCCCCTAAGTTAGCTGGCTGCCCCTTGGTGTAGTGGAGAAGCAGTGCTGTCTCCACTGTTGAAGGAAGATCCAATGTTAATCCATTTTGCTCTGTCACATGCACCGAGAGAGTATCAACATGCCCTTTGTTTCAGGAGGGAAATTTTCTTGGGCCACCAGAGTCATCACTGTGATATGTTGCCTAAGCTATGGCACTGCCTTCCAGTCTTTTGGCTACTAAAGGAACACTCTTTATGCAGAAAGCCAAAACAAGGTTGTCACATGCATGAGTCACAGGCTGAGTCTCCCTCTTGGCTGAGATCCATCTTTGCATAGATAACACATGGGAGTTAAGAAGCAGAGGGGTATAAGCTGCTAAGCTGAACCTTAATAGAGAGGTTCTTTCTTGATTCATGGCCTTTAATGCTCAGATGGAGCAATATCTTCCTCCTGAGACTTGTAAACTCTACTTTGAGATCTTCCTTCAAGAATCAGCCAACTTGCTTGCAAGGATTACTTGCAGTTAAAAGTTTGTTAAAGTTTGTTCTTCTAGTGGAGGCTTGCCTTTTCTTTTCTAACGATTTCAAAAATGCCATAGTGGTGCAGTAGGAAACATACCCACATGACTCTGTGATCAGTAAAGGCCATCATATAGCTGTGATTTTTAAATGTTGGTCCTCCAAATTGTCTGGACTTTAACTTGCAAAATCCCTGAATGTTGGTGAAGCTGGTTGAGATGGTGTGTGTACATTCAATACATCTAGAGATTGAAAACCACTGTCATTCACTACATTTCCAATACACTAAAAGGGCCCTTGAAAAGTTATCCTACCCATGGGGGAATAAATATTCTTTAAGTGGCTCATGTGTAGCCTTGTAATTAATCTAGCCTTATAGACGAAGGAGATCTCTATGAATCTGAACCATGGAATTTTCTTCTCACCTTCCAACAATATCATCATGCAAGTATCTCTTGCTTTAACTGACATATATGTGCCTACAACCCTGCTTCTTAAATGATAGTTAAGGTCATGCCTTTAAAGCAACTCTACAATTTAGTAAGCAGCTTTCAGAATGTTCATGTTCATACCTGGAACATAATCTACTGGTGGTACGCTGGGTGGTGCTTTGCTTGTTAGCCTGTGAACAATATAAATACATTTAGCCTCTGAAGCATTCAATAAGAGTTGCATGGCAACCAACGGTTAGCAAAAGAATAAAATGAAGCAAAAGAACAAAATGAAGGTTAACAAGAAGTTCAAAGACAGTTAGCAAGAGAAAAGCAAACAATGCGAATAAATCTGATGCTTTCGCCAGTTCTGGAAAAATGCATTCACATGGACATTTCTGCAGAAGACAACCAACAAATAGTTATACATATAGGACACACAGCTTGTTAGTTAGTTAGAATGTAATATTGAGAGAGTTAAATAAAAGGCAATACTTTTATTACACCAGTTCAAAGGTCACAACAACTAAGTGCACCTTCAAAATTTCTAAATCTCTCCATTAAGCAAAATTAGGCACAACGTACCAAGAGATAACCTTCTGTCCCATGTTAATTTTCTGTCTCTGAGATAAATATGGGACAGCACATATTTTTCAGCCTTGTTGTGGATTTTCAGGATGCTTTATAGCAATATGACATCATATTGTTGGGATAATAAAATGAAGTACAAGAATACGTCTGCTCTTTTATATGTTAAGTGCTAACTCCAGATGTTTGAAATGATTTTTGTTTAGCACATAACACTTACTTGGAAGTGTGCAGTGAGGTCCGTGGTTTGGAGTGTGAAGTATGTTAACTTATGCTTAATTTTTGCCCAGTTATCTGGGAATCAGCTGAATTCAGTATAAGACAGTGAATCTCAGTAGTCCTGCACAATATCCCCCTGCTAAGGAAGTTCATGGAAAGGTGGTTTCCCATCTCCACTTTTCCTTGAGCAGCCCTGTCAAGAACTCCAGATCAAGAACTCCTCCTAAATATTGTGGAGGCTATTAGATGAGAAGTAAATCATCCAAAGTCTGCTGGAAGTCTTTATAATTTGGAGTGAAAATTTCCATTCCTTAGTACCATATCCCACATTGTTTAGGAGTCTAGAGCAAACACCAGGTTGCACATGCTTGAAGCATTGTTTTAATCAGTATGTGTTATGGTTTCAGCATGCATCATGCAGCAAAGTGCTAGCAAAACAATGTATGAAATATTCTTTTGATGAGATGACTATTAACATTTTCTGTTTCCACATTTAGAGGAAAAGTTATCAGATGATGGCCTCACCCAGTCTTCCCAAATGATGTCCTCAATTTCAAGGCAACACATTTAGAAGGCCTGAAGTTAGGGAAGGCTGAGCTAGGCCCAATGGAATGGTGGGACAGAAAAGAGGTGAGAGATAAGGCCATGGTGCAAAATATTATTCCATAAACCTTAGCCAAAGCCCTTGGAAAAAAATGTAAATGCAACAACACTTAAAGCAGGCAACAGGACTCCACACTGAATAATCAGAATGTGCACAGTTCTAAATTGTCATACCGATCCCATGTATTTTTCCCAGTTTTGCATATTAAGGCCACTTGTTCATTTTGGAACCTAAATATCAATAAGAGAAAAGGAAAAAAATGCTGATGTGGGCTAAGCTGGTCAGCCTACAGAGGTTTTACTTGCAATGACTTTTCTTATAAATGGAATTACATCACAAATGCACACTACTGATGAATGTTTAGTACTGTTCAATGAGTATTGGAGAGCATATTGCCCATATGTACATGCTCAAGTTGTTGCTATGCCCTTAGACCTGCTAAATCATAGGTAACTCATGGTCTTCCAGATGTTGTTGGATGTTAACTGCCAGCACTGGATGTTGTTGGATGTTGTTGGATGTTAACTGCCAGCATAGCCAGATGTTGTTGGATGTTAACTGCCAGCATTCCCAACCACTGGTTATGCTATGGCTGATAGATGTTGCAGTGACAACACCTGGAGGGCCCCATATTGCTTGCCCAATGATATGGGAGGTTCTCCACTTAGGTTTCTTCCAGAGGGTGCATGTGTATCTCCTCCTTCTTTTACCCTTTTGTGCCAGAAGAGAACAGGAGTTACTTGGATGCTCTCAGATTTGCGTCCATTAGACTGCATTCCATATCCTGCCCATGGATGGAGTCATGAAGGTCTCTTGACAAAACAGAACAGGGGTGGAAAATTAAATTAAAACATTTCAGAACCTCCTAACAAGTGTGTGGGAAGCATAGCTATGCCAAACATGGACATATTCCAGTAACAAGAGGCAAAATATTTGTGGGGAGCAGGGGGAAAAAGAGCCAAACATTTAGAGAGCATGGTGTCCAGCATGTACTGGCTGCCAGCTGGCCTCTCTTCCCAAGCAACTGATAACCACATGGAAGAGTTGGGGTGAGAGAGATGTAAAGACACTACCACATGCATGCACACACCCTTCCTTGTTCTCATAAACAGAGAGCACAGATGAATCTATGAGTGCCAAATTCTCCAGGTTATCTCTTCCTTGACTTTTGCCATCTCCTCCATTTTTTAAAAAAATTGGTACCATTGATTAGGTTAGTATTAACTTTCCTTCATTTTTGGATGGAATCAAGACAGAACTAGAATCTTTTTTTTTAAAGGAAGAAACTCGGGACTGGGAAAGGAAATGCTAAACCTGCTCCCAGTTCAGATAGGGACAAAGGGTTTGATCACAATTTGGATGGTCTAAATCATGGAGTGCTCCAGTGCAATTTATTTCCCAGTGATCACATGATATACAGGGACATGTGCTCCATCCTGCTGCTCATCCTGTGCCCAAGCTGGACTTTTTTGCTCCCTCTGTAGGGCTACTACTTTTTAGGGCCATGCTTGAGTGACTTTCTGGCAGACCGAAGTGTCGCTTTAAGGGAGACTGCTCCCATAAAAAAGGACCCTTTCTGGTGCAATCAAGTGTGTAGTTTTACAACTGTCTGATCACAACCAAAATAAAGCCAAGACATCAGGGAGGGACAAAAATTTATGGGAACTCACACAAGACCAAATCATCTGGTTGTTGGGGAGTCTTCTATTAAGCTAAATGCTCAATAGAGGGATACAAATGTTCCATCTAAAAGAGCCTTCACTTGCCTTTTTAAAACTGAAGTGAGTCTTGAACATTCAGAGAAATAAAGAAAAAAATGCTAGTGTGTGTGTATCTTTGGAATAATACACGTGCTTCTTGAATGCATTCAATGAGTTGGAACTCTTTACAGGTAAAGCACTCCAGTTTAATTGGTTTGAGGTTCACACTCATAACCTTTGTCATAAAAAAGAGTTGCTAGCTGATTAGGAAACAAACACAACATGATTTTACTTGCTTTTGTGCCTACAACAGCAGTCTGGACTGCAGAAATATGCAAGTGACACTCCTAATGGACTCAGTATATGTATTTTATCACTTCCTGACATCCATAGATTGAGCTGCTGTGAAAGGCACAAGATCACAGTCATGCGAATGGAAAAGTGCTGATAACCTTCATAATGAAACTTACAATGGTTCCAGCCAGACAAATAAATATACTGAAGAAATAAACCATTCATTTTCCTTTGCAAGAAATCACTTGATCAGCATGAGAAAATCTATGTGGGCTTCCAGTGAGGTTCCATTATTATAATGCGGTTTCTAGACACATATATGTCACCATGACCCACCAGTTCTCCTTTTTCTGTTCAGGGGTGTTCAAAATTGTTAGCCCCATCCATCCTTTTATGGGTGCTTCCTCTTTCTCTTTGCTTCAGTTTATTTCCCTGACTTGTGCAGCACACTATAGCACCTCTGCATAACTAGCCTTCAAAAAATGTCACAGGGATCTTTCCTGCAGTGGGTGAGGGTCAAGAAATAGTCATTCTGTTCTGGGACTCAAAGTAGCTTTTTTGCTACTTCAATTCTATTTCCTCTCCTTCCTGTTTTCTAAAGGAAGTCATGTGCTTGGGCATGTCTACATTGGCCCGTTTGAAGCAGATTGGTGTGCTCCAAATAAGGTTGATTGAGGTCAGGTGGATGTGTGACATGCCATTTGGTGTGATCCTCACATCCAAATGATATTCTGTCCTCAAGGGATCCTATTTAGCCTGGATTGCTCCACTGTAAATTTTCACTATTGTGAAGTGGCTTAATAAGCAAGCCACTTCAGGGTACAGTATCAGCAAATTGAACACTTTCCTCACTTCAGGGTATCAGCAAATTGAACACTTTCCCTGTTCCTCTGGAAAGGGGCAGGGGAAGTGAATTTACTAATTTTTTGGTCTCTGATAGACCGTAACTGATGCGCTGCATCACTTAGATTAATGTTTTTTTAAAAAAAGTCTTTGTAATGTGTGAAGTGCCAATCGAGAAATTGCCTGCAGTCATGGTTTCGATTGGCTCTTCATAGATGGCAAAGAAAGTATTTTTTTAAAATTTAATCTAAGTGATGCAGAGCATCAGTGATGGTCCACCAAGAGGCAAAATTTAGTCATTTTACTTCGCCTTCCCCTCTTCAGAGGAGCTGGGGAAGTGCCCAAATTGCTCATATTCTGAAGTGGATCACTTTTTCAACCACTTCACAATACCGGAGACTGACAAGAGAAGATCCTTGGTGGCTCTGACAGTTGCAAAGCTCAATATTTGGTCTGTTTCCAACAACTGCATACAGTATGCTGGAATCAGACCAAATTAGAATGAATTTACCTGCAACAAAGAAATATAAGCCCGGACAGGAGCTCAGAAAAGTGTGGGTAGGGCTGCTCTGGTCACTGATTGGTTTGCTCTAGACATTATATTGTCTGATCACCATCAAAAAGAGAGCCAACCCATCCCTGCAGCACATCAAACCCATGCTCATCTAACCCAGGCCTTTTTAAAATGCATATTTGGGCACACTTGATTTAGCTGGTCCCCTGCTCATTTTACAGCCCATTTCCAGCTCTGCTGATGGCATAAGCAATTCGCGATTGCCTGGCATGCTGATTTAACAGTTTAGCTCATTAAGTCAGGCTCCCATCAACACAGATGGCAGGTGGTTCTGAATCCTGAGAAATGACAGCTCTATCAGGAGGACATTCAGGAATGTAATGCTTGGTCTAGAAAGGGAAAAAAATCACATTGATTGCAGCTTCCTCTGTCACTAGCACATTTAAAGAAGAAGCAACATTTCATAGAAAAGAGTTATTGCCTTCCCATCCTGTTTGTGAACAATCTGATTGGAATTGCTTTAAAAAAGAATATGAGTTTAAATGCTTCTGTCTCGATGCCATTGCAGCAGAAACAGGGAATGGTATCCCCTCACCATCTCAAGGAGCCACATTCCACCTAGAGAGGTCTATTGGGGACTTTGTGCCAAGGTGGGCAAGGTAAGAACCCTGCGACTAATGAATGGAGCTAAACCTCTCCCCCTTCATCTCTCTAGCCTCTTTCACAGTGCGCAGAGGCTGAGCCCCTCCACTGGTGGCTACAACTGCCATATAGAATTAGAGGGAAAGGAGATTTGGTCATGCTATGGAACCAGAGGTTGGGAATACAATTCCCCACTGTGCCTCCCAGAGAAAAGCCAGCCTATATAAACCTGGGCAAGCAGCACAGTCCCACAGCATCTCCAGAAAGAGTAAACGATAAACCACTTCTGGATACTCTGTACCAGAAAGGGTTGCCATAGGTCAGATTCAACTTCACAGAATACTGCTATTGTTGATAATGATGACTAGGATCACAGATGTAGGGAAGGTGAGAACTAATGCTCTTTTCAAAGCTGTGCCTTTCCTGCCCATGTGGCAATTAAATGTTTGAAAAGCATTCATGGGCACCAATGGCAGATTCCTAAAAAAGTTTGATTGTTCCACGGGAGTAGGGATGGGCAGGGTTGAAAAGGCCCTTCCATGGGCTTGATAGTGTGGGCCCAGTGGGCTGCATTTATGGGGCCAGAGGCAGATTTTTGGCTGCATAAAGAAAGGTAATAATTTCATGAGTGATGTATGAGCTAATAAGAAATGATCCCATTGCCAGGGCACCCTTCTGCAAGGTGTCTATATTTAGCCCAGTGTTTCAAGGATAAATACAGAGTTAAACAGACACATAATAGCTGTGCTGAGGGGGAAAGGCTTGTTGCTGCAAACTCTCTGAATGCGGGAAGGTGGGGCCTGCAAAACAACACTGTATTTGTTTTGTTTTATCATGTCTGTTGCACAACAAGTTGAGACAAGTAATTGTGCCACGGTCAAATTAAAATGGAGATGTTGAAACAGGTTGCCCATGAAGAGGACAGCACAAGAAAAGTGCAATTTTTTTTTTAAAGTTTGGGTATTTTAAAGATTAACTACCCCAGGTTTAGCTGTTGTCATGACTACTAAAAGGACGGTGACAATGCCTACGACTCCTATAATGACAGGAGAAGTTGAAGGCGGCAGGAAAAAAAAAGGATAGTCATTGATGAGTCGGAGTGACTCCACAAAGGAAACCTCAGGCCTTGTGTTCGCAGGAGCTGAGCAGGGCTGTTACCGACAAGGCACTTTTGAGATTACTCATTCACAGGCAAAGTCAGGAGTTACTTGATAGCACATAACAACAAGAAATCCTGTTCCTCTGAGTGAAAATGTTCATAATTATGAAGTTTGAAATGGTGTGGGGAGCAGGTGCATATATACTGTTGAAGCTGAAAGCATGGTGTCCCTGTTTGTGAAGGTCAGTCCAGAGGAGTAGCGGTGCAACTGATTGGGTTCCCCGCAACACGGCCTCCTCATGTGAGCGTTCTCTCATCAGGGTCACATCCTTTATTCAATAGAAGGAGGCAATTGCCTTAGGTGGCCTATGCTGGCGGGGGCAGGGGGCAGCCTTCTAACCATTCTTCTTAAGTCTCCTGGTCATTCCTTCTTTTGGAAGGCCGAGCAATTCTGTGCACAGCCTGATTAGTCCTACACCCCGTAAACTAGCTTATTGCTTCAAGCGAGGTGAAGAATACTGTCACATTCTTCGTACTGAAATAAGATTCAGTTGCCAATCCAGCCGGCTTTCGTCTACGCAACAGAGTGAAGGCATCATTGCCTCAGGCAGCAAAATATTTTGGAATAGATGTGGCCCTCAACTTAGAACTGCAGAGCTGAAAGAGACCCTATGGATCACCGAGTCCAGCCCTTGTCAAAGAGGAACAGTGGGGAATTGAACTCCCAACCTCTGGCTCCAGGGATCTAAACCACTGAGCAATTGTTTCAATGCCACTCTCATTTCAAAAGCTCTCTGTGGCACTTTGTTGGGACATCTGGAAATAATCTTTTGTTCTTCTCTTACTAGACCTCTGGGCAGGAAGGAAGATGAAGGTTTAGAGGAGAGACAAATGATGATGATGGAATGGTGGCTGAGAAGGAGAGAATGTGTGCATGTCATATGGTTCTCCTACAGTCCACTAATGGCTTAAGTACATGTTTGTATTAAATCTCTAATTCTCTACATACTTACTTGGGAGTAAATCTCAGCAGATTACTTACTTGGGAGTAAATCTCAGTGGATATGCTGGGGCTTAATTCTCAGTACAGTACCTGAGAACTGGCTTATCCAATACCATGCCTAAAATGTGCACTGTCAACTATTTTTTTAAAGATATCATGAAAATTACTGAGATACACAACTTACTTTTTGAACTTGCTCATTATTCCACTGTCATTTTTCTTGATATCATGCACTATTTTTTGAAGTTGCCTGTAGGAAAGTAAATATTAAAATCTATTATTAGATTGGCTATGGTATTAACGGAATTAACAGCATATACAGCAACATGCAATAGTAGACACACAAGAAGTTTTCTTTTTGCTAGGGCATGTTCCTTTTCTCAAATTACTTCTTTCCTCCCTGCAATGATGTCATTCAAAAACAAGCATCCAAAGTGCAAAATTGCAAAACCTACCATTAGTCAGATGAGCATGATAAAAATCTGTTTACTGGGGAACTCCTTAGAAGGTTTGTTGCTTCCCTTTTATGGGAATCCTCTGTAGTTTACAATTTGCAAGTATTTTCTTAAAAAACGATGCTATCAAACAGCAGACAACTGAATGAAATTAATGTTAAGCAACGAATGCATTAAATGATTCATAGGTGCCACTTTTAATTCACAGGGTCATGGTTACACCTGTCCAGAAAGAAAATGTAATAATTGCTAAACATCTCCCATCTTTTCCAGAAGCCTTGTAGATTTAGCCACAAGAAGGTGAGGAAGGCTTAGCCAAGAACCTGGAAACTTCAGGTTTCCCACTATACCAGGAGGTACCCCATCATTGTGCAAATGTACAGAAGAGGTTTCAATAATATTTTAATGGAGTTAGACTCTGCTCAGATAATGACAGTACAATTGCTAGGCACCTGGTATTTATTTTGGTTGTTATGTCTTACTTACATATAAACAGGTGTGCAGGTGCAACACTATTTTTAAAAAAAGTAAAGGCTTATAAAGGATAACTACAGAAAAACGGACAGTGTGCACCATTCAGTTTTGGTCAAGTTGTCAGCATGGAGATCTCTGACAGGCTCACTCGCTTGTCTGTAGGAACTAGAGCACTGCCTGCAGCTGTTCTTCACAACCAAGCAGATGACCACACTTGCCTAAGAGCACAGCACCAACCAAGTGCTCTAACCACCACCTGGAAAAGTTACACTTTTGGACAACTTCCAGACTTTTCCACTACCAATCACGCTGGCTGGGGGACTGTGTGACTTGTTATTTTCACTTGTCTCACTGATTTAAAAAACAACAAATGCCACAATCCTATCTATAATTGTTTAGTAGTTACATCCTGTAAATTCTACATTCTGAGAAGGGATATGATGGCGCTGCGGGTTAAACCGCAGAAGCCTCTGTGGTACAAGGTCAGAAGACCAGCAGTTGTAAGATCAAATCCACGTGATAGAGTGAGCTCCCGTCGCTTGTCCCAGCTCCTTGGCAACCTAGCAGTTTGAAAGCATGGAAATGCGAGTAGATAAATAGGTACCACCACGGTGGGAAGGTAATGGCGTTCCGTGTGTAGTCGCGCCAGCCACGTGACCGCGGAAACTGTCTACGGACAAACGCTGGCTCTACGGCTTGGAAATGGGAATGAGCACTGCGCCCTCAAGTCGGACACAACTGGACTAAATGTCAAGGGGAACCTTTACCTTTTTACCTTACATTCTGAGCAAACATTTAAGATCAGACTGTTTGACCTGACTTGCCTTATCTGCATTTGGGTCACTGTATGCATGTTCTGACTAATACAATAATCGTGTGTTGTCAAGCCAGTTCTGACTTAAGGTGACTTTTTCTGGGGTTTTCGAAACACAGAAGTGGTTTACCATTCCATTCTTCTGGGGGCACCCAGGAATGAGCAGTTTGCCTAAGGTTACAGAAGTTGTCTTTTCTCTCTGGGGGCACAGTGGGGAATTGCACTCCCAACATCTGGCCCCACAGCTAGATACCTAACCCACTGAGCTAGCCATTCAGCTGGCTCTTATTAAAGACAATTTTTTTTCTACCCAGAAATCTCACATTTGACAAATAATCTTCACTGATCATAAACAAAATATCTATTTCACATGTGTGTAGGGTGTCCCAGGATTTATGAGAAAGATTCAACAGGCAGAATATTAGATGTCGCCCTCTCTAACCTGAAGGCACACCTAAACAAAAAGCTGCACCAGCCTGATTTTGATGAGAGGTACAGGATTTCTGGACATGTTTAAACATAATCACCCACTGTATTTATTACGTATGAACATAGCCTAGATGTGGTAGAAATGAAATGGGTATTTCCCACCTTAGATGTTTTTCCTTAAGCACCCATTTCACTTTCTATGACAGCTCGTGAGTCACCCCACAGAGTCTTTCCTCTTGGCAGTTTGCCGATTTGGTAGACTTTATCCCCAAGTGGTAAAGAGCAGGAAGCTGGCACATTTATTTCATACCACTACTACAGTAAGTATTTATTGATTTATCAGTCATAAAAACACACACGCAGACAACAAATCCCAAACACTCATTGCATAACTGAGTTACTCCACAGACTGTATCTCTTGGAGCATGTTGGGTCTAGCATTAATTATAATATATTGAAACTCTGGAACATTTACAACAAAGTTACTAATCTTACTTAAACTTATTTCTGAAAGGTCTACATTGGATCAGGTGCAATATTCTTTCCCAGGAAACCTGGCAATAAAGAAGCATATGTGCTGTGTACTCGACAACTCTTATACCACAAGGATATAATCTTTGGTTGTGAGGCACACCATAGAAGTGTCCTTCCATCAGTATTGAGGGCATAGAATTAGCCCTTGCTGAGAAAAAGGCTCTCTTGTACTTAGGGAACGTACGTTTTTTAAAATAAGGAGCATATTCGTTAATACAGAAAACATTTAATCCTCATGTTATAGAAGAGCAAGCTCTATAGAACAGAACTAACAAACTTCGCCTGTCAATATCAGAGATCCTCTGCTTTATTATGAATTTGGGCTGCATGCTATTATATGTGTAGCCCTGCTAAAGTGAGGCCAAGTGATCTAATCTTTTAAACCACAGCTTTACCCCTCCAAGAACAGACATAAGAATCTTCCATTGCTCTGATGAATTGTCAATTCCAATAGCATAGCATATAGCTCCAAACCAAGCTTATCAGAGAGGATAAACTCACCGCTAGGTTAAAAATTAGTCCTGGTACACTGCTTTCTCTCTATATCATACATTTATTTCCTACAAAGGATCTAAATGATTATAGTGGAGTAAAGATGTTAGATTAGGGAGAGAGAGATGAAGATCTAGGTTGAAATTCCTGTTCAGCCATGAAACTCACTCAGCTGACTTTTGATCAGACACCATCTCTTAGCCTAACCTATCTCATAGGGATGTGAAGTAGGTTAGGCTAAGAATTTGACATTACAATGGAAGAAAGGAACTATGTACACTGCCTTGAATTGCTTGGAAGAGAAAGAATGAGAATAATAATTAAAAAAACAATGTTCCATCCATATGTTTCCTACTCATTTCATCTAAATCTAAAAGTCCAAGAACATATTGGTTAACCTAGGCTGGGAACCACGGAATTGAAAGCTATGATGCAGCTATTTCCCTTCTCTCCTTGATAGATCTTTTGGGGAAAAGAAAAAAGACAGAATGGATGGGAAAATACAGAAAGATTTAAAAAGAAGGATGTTTGTACTTCCCATCAAATCTTATTTAGAAATAAGTCATGGTAAGTATATGTTAGTGGGTCAAAAATGCTACAGCCAAATTGTCAACTGGGGCTGATTTTAGGGATCAGAACCCCCCCCCCTTTCAGCACTGGCTGCCAGACCATGCATGTATATTTCCAGTATTCTGCTATGAAACTCCACATTTTTAGAAATATACATATGCATGCTTCTGTTAGATAGGAAGCAACTGACCCATAAAGCACATCATGCTAGTTTGAATGCCAAATCCAATATCTTTTCTTTTTATTTCCTGCAAACGTGTTGCAGTTGCTGCACAGAGGCTGCTTTAGACTGCTTAATATTAGAAATGTTGTTATTTATGACAGGGCCAGCTTAAGACATTTTGTGGCTCGAGGCATGCAGAAGTCCCCAAGTATCAGGCAACAAAACGATGATTGGATTGGCCTTTGAAATCTCTGTCAACACTAGTGCCAGGACAAGATATTCCGACAGCGTTCATGTACACCCCCATCCATACTGTGAATTTAGAGCATTCCGCACTTCCCCAAAGGCCTGAATGGGGTTCTTGCCTTGCTTCTGAATCTGAACAATTCCTCTCATAGACTGACTTCCAGAATCTTATGCTGGCATAAAATGCCAATGCATAAAGTGTAGTGACAAATTCTCATAATTAAAAAGTCCCCTCTGCTAGTCATTGGTGTGCACTACTGCACGTGACGTATGGGAAACATGTGTTAACTTTTTAACTAATGGCAATTTGTTGCTGCAATTTATTTTGCTGACATACTTAGCTAACAGGATGCTCAAGACCAGACTTTCCATTAAGAAAAAAGGTGGAAGGAGCAATGGGAAAATAAGAAAGAATTGCAAACAGAATACAATGGCATCTAGACCTCCCACACATAGTAAAAGCCTCATGTGGAAGCACCAGGAAGCAGCTTCCCCATAGCAGTCATGCTTGTCCACAGTGGTCCTTATGTGCATTATGGTTTCACTTATGCTGGAAATTTCACCATGTCGTTGCATACCCGAGAGAGATATAGGCAGCTAGCTCTTGAGAACATTTACTTTTTTGGGCCACAGTGCCCAGAATCCCCCACCAGCATGCCAAGTGGTTGGAGTATTCTAGAGTTGCCACCGAAACAAGTCAATTTTCCGGACTTGCCGACCATTCTGGGATGGAGGCACACCTTTCAATCTCTCAGTCAGATTTCTCCCCTAAAATGTTTAGAGAAAAGGTGCTTGCTCTTCTCCAGAATACATTTATGTCTCTTGCTGTGCACAACATTGCGAACAAGGAGCATGAGTGACAGCTGTAATGATGTCCCTAATAGGTTGGGTGCACTTTTTCCCCTTGAAAGCTTGTTGCAACCCTTGGCTGTTTTGGAACACTCACTTTCAACCCTATTCTACTGAATCAGTAAAGAAGGAATTGTCACCTTTCACCTGCGTTTATCCCTCACTTCCTGTTATGCCCTTGTTTGATTCTATAAATCAAAGGAGCTCCTGCCTTCCTCTTATAA